TCAATATCAATTTTGGAATATTTACTTTCTGTTCTCTTCATTTTCTTATTTAAGAGTCCAGTACAAGTATCAATAGGGATTAGTGTTTTGTCTTTTGTATCATACTGTTTCCCTTCTAACAATTATATATATTTTTGGAATATTCACTTTCTATTCTCTTCATTTCCTCCCATAATACCTAAATCCCTGTAATTTCAACAATCATTTCATTTTGATATTTTTCTTTGCTGTTGGTTGAATGATTGAATTGCATGTTTTGTATATCTGAAGGTAGCTACTAATACTATTATTATTATTATTATTTCATAGATATAACTGTCTCATTTGACAGCTTTCACTTATAGTGAGTTTTTTGTTAACATAGCAACTTGCATTGTAATGTACGCCCTTCTACTCTGCTGTCTGATAGAGAATGGTATCTGTGATGCAGTTACGTCTGATGGAAGTATCCTTGCGACTGGAAGTTATGATACAACAGTAATGGTTTGGGAAGTTTTTCGTGGTAAAACCACTGAAAAGAAAAATCGTAACAGTCAATCTGAGTTACCTCGCAAGAACTATGTCATAATTGAAACTCCATGCCATATCCTTTGTGGGCATGATGATATAATAACTTGCATATATGTTAGTCATGAACTTGATATCATAATAAGTGGATCAAAAGACGGAACTTGTGTATTCCATACTCTGCGAGAAGGTAGATATGTCAGGTCCATACGCCATCCATCAGGCTGTTCAATAACAAAGCTAGTTGTCTCTCAGTGTGGTCAGATTGTGATTTATGCTGATGATGATCTTAGTTTGCACCTGTATTCGATTAATGGAAAACATCTTGCTGCCTCTGAATCCAACGGACGCCTTAATGCCGTTCAATTGAGCAGATGTGGTGAGTTTTTGGTAGGTGCAGGTGACCAGGGGCAGATTGTTGTTCGCTCTATGAACACCCTTGAAGTTGTTAAGAAATATCATGGAGTTGGAAAGATTATGACATCTCTGGCCGTAACCCCAGAAGAATGCTTCTTAGCTGGCACAAAAGATGGAAGTCTCCTAGTGTATTCGATAGAAAATCCTCAGCTTCGTAAAACTAGCCACAGCAAAAGTACAAAGTCAAAACTGACGTAACAGAAAATATAACAGGAACATGCAGAAGGTGCATGTGGAATTTTAACAGTTAGAGCTGCCCCGTGACAACTGTTCCAGGTACAATACTAACGTGCATTTATGACTACTTGTTTCCCTTTTTACTAATCCGATACCAGGATTTGTGCCTGGTTGCGTAATGCTTATACCTATCTATTAGATAAGAATCCCGATAGATTACTTCATATTCAGTTCAGTTATTCCTGTTTAACTATATGTCAATATCCCATTGTTCCTTGCTGCATTACCAAAATTCGTTGCCAGTCATCTTTTGTGACTAAGATGGATCAAGGAAAATCTACAGAAATTACTAAATGTTTTCAAATAATACATGAGTGTCATTTTTTAAACTATCCTTAAAGCATGATGGTTAAAGAAATATTTTAGGGGTATTTAGTATACAAAACCTTGTTTCTCGAAAATTATGTTTGTTGGAATTTTTGTTTTCTAAGAATGTTAAAAATATATTTGATGTATAAAATATTATTGATAATGTTATATAATGTATTTTAAGAATGTTTTTATCTCGTGTTTAGTTTAAATATTATTTTAAAAATATTAACATTTTTTAAAAATATTTCTTTACTCTATGATAAATGATATATCTTGTTTATACTAATTAAATTTATAATTAATTAATAAATAAATAACACAAGACATTTATAACATGATAAGTATGTGCATGTGTGTAAGAATATAAAATTATATAATAACTTTAGCAATTATATATATATATGAGGAATGATCTTCTCATACTAGTATAAGTCTAAAAAATTTTAAATTTGATTTGAGTCATCATTTAACTTACATCTAACAGTTATTTAAATAATAAATTATAACTTGTTAGATATAAGTTAGATGAAAAGTTCAGATTAAGTGTAAGAATTTTTAGACTTACACTAATGTAAGAAAATTCTGTCCATATATATATATATATATATATATATATATATATATTATAATGGTACTATGTGATAAATCACTTAACTCATGTGCATAGTGAATATTATGAAATTTTAATTACAATAACTCTTCAAATAATTTTTTATTATAATAGCAAGGTAATAATAAAGGTTTTCCATAGATGATAACATGTAGAGAGTATAAATTAGGCTTAGGTTTGAGTTCATTTAGAATATAGTTTATATTATTAAAAAAAAAAAAATCTTTGTGGGAATTTTAGATTCTTACTTCATTTATAGGAATTTTTTGAGAAATTTAATTAAAAATACATTCTTAAAAATGATAGGGATTGTTCAGTTTTAAGAAATTTTTTGTTTTTATTCTTATAATGCAAGTTTTATCCTATAACTTGTCTAAGTAAGTAATTTTCGTCATATATTTGAAGCCAAACAACTTGCAAATTTATTTTATCATGCTTGGCAGCTCGGTCTTGAAAACCAGTATAGTTTGAAACAAAGAACTATCGAGGGGTTGAATCCAGTTGCTGTTAAACTCAAAATAGGAGTCATTTTTTGCCGTATTTCCTTATTGCCTATGTATTTGTTAATCATTATATATAAGAATAATTCACCTTTTTTGATGATTGTTTTAGTAACTAGTTAGTAACATCCAAAACGTACTCTGATGTTTCTTCTTTGGAAACTAATTTTGTAAGTTAATATTCATCCTTATCTTCTACAGGTGCGCCCACTGACAAGTGACAACATATTTGGGGTTAGGCTAAATTGCTAATGCTTCTCACATGGTAATAATGTCATCTTCTTTCCTTCATTGTTTTGGGTATCATCCCCATGAAGGGCTTGGGGATTCTGTGAGATAATACGTAAGAGCAACAGTCTTACCTGAATATGCAAAAGCATATTTTACTTTTTCACACTGGAATAGAAGAATTGAGTGGATCATCGTCTACTTTATAAACAGCATGAGACTGCAATTGGATTCCGAGAATCAGTTTATTTCATGCTTTAGATTATAGGGAGCTAAAGACTTGGGGTTTTGTTCATAGATGTGTACATTATATTCGTTAATTCTTCAATAGGATTACTAGGATTCTTGTGCACTAAATTGTAGTTATGAGCCTTTGTTTTTTGGGTTTCTCTGTTAACGTCACACATTGTACAGACAGGCCTGAATGCCTTATCATACAGTCAAAGAATCACTCTCCGCCTTGTGTTGTATCAGCTTATGTCGCTCTTCTGCCTCGTTGCCCTTACCAATGGATACGTTCTTTTATTGTTTTTACAGATACAGGTTTGTGCTTAAAGTTTTTTCTTTTTTCTAATTGGGGAAGGGTAAGGGTTCATGATCTGGTGCAGGTTGTGTAGCTAAACCATTCTGTGCAATAAGGCGGTTATCATTAAAATAAACATGAAAACCAGTTATTTATTGGAGTACAGTTTTTTTTTAAGGAGTCTTTTAACAGAAAATAATTATTTATTTTCAGTTTAGCCATTGAATCACTTTAAAGGAGTTTTATCCAATATTTTTTATATTATTGTTATAAAGTTCACAAATCAAATGAATTTTTTACCTCTATCCCAGCGTCTAATTGGTACTTAAACCTCCATACTTGTTTTCATTAACTGTAGTTTGTTACCTAAATAGAATCTCTTTTAACATTTTTTAACGAATTAATAAAGCATAACTATCGTTATAAAATATTTAACATTCATTGAAAACACATTAAATAAGGTGCAAAGTTACGAATAAACTTACGGATTTTGTTAACTTCAACCGGTCAAGGTTATTAGAAGTGATATAATTACTCATTTAAAACAAAAATATTAAAACAAGATATTGAATCATAAAATGGGAGTGTTTGGGATTCAGTTCAGTTTGATTTTGCTCAAAAAGTTTTTAAAATTGCAAATTAATATCTCATTTTTGCACACTAGAATTATGAAAATTCAGGAGAAGCAATTAATTGTATTGTATGTGCCAATTGCATTTAGCTAATAGGCTTGTGGAAATTTAGGTTAATAAGTATAGTTGTAATACATATAACTGGATCCTATAATACTTGTACACCTGTATTTACTTTATACATTTTAGTTGTTTTTAGTGTTAAAAGTATTGCTTAGAAGAAGATCAAGAAAGATCTATTCGAGACTATTGATTTTTTTCATCGTTTGATATATAATTTAATAATTTATACTAGATTAAAGTGAATAATTTATACTAGATTAAAGTGGGGATGCAATAAATAATCAAGCATTTATATGTTACTGAGGACATATACCGAGAATTGCAGTGAGAATCACAGTTGAAAAATGGCCACACAGCACGTTAGCACATAACACAAGATTAGCAGAGTAGAATTGGACTACATCACCAATTTTAAGGTCATGAAAATGTGGAATCGATTTCTATAAGAAAACTGGAGTTGGAAAGTATTTTAGCTATTTATTATTAACAACTCTTCTAAATTAAATTTTGATTCATTATATATGATCTTTTTATCGATAAATATTTATTAAATTTAACTACAATATAATTTATGTAAAATGATACTTCTTTACACTTAAAAATAACGCTAACTTTGATATTTATATTTATCAGAATATTTTTTATAAAATGTCCATTACTTGATAAGTTGTTTAATTAATTTTTAAAGTCAAATTTACAAGCCAGTAACTTCATTAAAATAAAAATTTATCAAAAGAAAAAAAATCAATTATAACGCAATTTCGTTCCTTATAAATAATATTTTTTTTAGCTTTTAATTTACAAAATATTTTAAGTTAATGATAAATAAATAAATATATATATATATATATAGATATATATATATATATTTTACATTAAAATAATTAAATTTAAAGATTATGGTAAATCTCAGGACCAAGAAGAGTGGCAGCCTCGTAAATATGAGCACCATTAGGGTCATTATCCTCTCTATCTTCCCTCCGACAACCCGGGCCTTCGGCTTTGCTCCCCACAACACATTCTCAGGCGTATTTTATTATAATTATCCCCATTGTCGTTTTTCTCATCGTCACTCCCTCCCAATCAAACTCCTACTTAGGGTTAGGGCTAGAATTAGAGTTAGGGTTTCAATCATTCCTCCCAATATTCCCATGTAATGTAATGTAATGCATCAAAAACCCCTAATTCTTCCCTGCTACCAACAATGTACGACACTATGAACCAGATCACCCCCGCCGAAGACAACGACGGCGCCGACTCCGTCGACAACCACCACATTCATTACAATTCGCACGCCCTCGAAGACGGTAACGGCGGAGGGGGAGTCGAAGATGTTTCCACCGATTCCGTTTACGTTTCAGGCCCTGAAATCTCTATCCAAGATTCTAGCCAACTGACGCTTTCGTTTCGTGGACAAGTTTATGTCTTCGACGCCGTTACGCCCGATAAGGTACGCTTTTCTCTTTTTCTTCTTCTTGTGCTTTTTTCCTCTGCGCTTTTTAATAACGAACTTGTTTCATGTTTATGAGTTTTGGTTTGCATAACAGGTCCAAGCGGTGTTGTTACTGTTGGGAGGAAGTGAATTAACTTCGAATTCGCAATGTGTGGAGATGTCGCCTCAAAATCAGAGGGTATTTGTATGTGTGCGTGTGTGTGTGTTTATGTTGTAGAGCGAATTTGGGAGGGTTTTTGTTTTATAATTGTTTGCTTGTTGATGGATGTAGGGTGCAACGGAATATCCTGCAAGGTGTAGTCAACCGCAGCGAGCGGCGTCGTTAAGTAGGTTCCGACAGAAGAGGAAAGAGCGGTGCTTTGATAAGAAAGTTAGATATAGTGTACGTCAAGAAGTTGCTCTCAGGTCTGAATCTGATAGTAAGCTTTCTACTTGTGACTTATTGTTGGATTAGGGTCTTGAACGTTAGGCTTGATGCTGCTTAATGTATGTTCTATCTTGCAAATGCTGATCTTATGAGAGATGAGAAAAATGAATAAAGCTGTGGAATGTGGTCACTTCCTAACCTTTGGTGTCAAACTTAGAGAGAGGGTAACAGTGCGTTTCAAATTCTTGAACACTGTCTATTTGATGTCAAAGTGTTATTATGAAAGTAATGGGAAATATAGATTTTGTATGATGGGCTGTGCAATAGTTTAGATAGAGCGACGGTGCATTTCAAATTCTTGAACACTGTCTATTTGATGTCAAAGTATCATCTCATTATGAAGTGCCTTTCCATTTATTTAATTATGCAATTATGCTTGTTAGACTTTTATTATTGCTTTTTTATAACTTTCTCCCTAGGATACTTGATAAATGTGTGTTAAATTTTGAGTACTGGAAATTTGTTTATATTTTATTTGCTTTTGGTGTAAGTTTAAAACTGTTAGGATTATTAATCATGTTTTACAAGTTTTTGAAGTTTTCATTGCAGCTGTATGTTTGCTGTAGCGGCCATCCCATATTCAACTATGCCACTATAGCATTTTCGGGGGTAGACTCCGAGACACGTTCTGCTAACTACTTTACTTGTTTCTTACCATGTTCCTGTTGTTGTGAGATAAATATTGACCATAATTCGGTTGATATGAAATTAACATTACTTCTTCCATCTGCCTGTTTGAAAATTTTTAGTATGGGTTTTGTAGCATAATGCATATTTCAACAGCATGCTCCATAAATAAGTTGGTTATTTATGTATGCTTGAGTGAATGGCTAAATTTTGTACTTTGACATTTGATTCCTCTCTATATGTGTGTGTGTGTGTGTGTGTATGTTTGGATGTTTGGAGTTGTTTCCATTGCATTAACAAATGGCTTGGTGTCTCCTGATAATGGTTTTTATTTTTTCACAGCAATAACTTTTTTGGGACTTATTTCATATTTAATGTTGTCAAATGGGAAATTCTCATCTTCTCATGGGCTACTCATGATCTATATTTCACAATTTTTTTTATCTCATTATTTTAGGTGTTCAACTTTATTTGTGTCAATTTTTATCTTACTTATCGGTTTTTAATATGTAGGATGCATCGAAATAAGGGTCAATTTACTTCATCTAAGAAACAAGATGGAGCTAATGGTTGGGGTGCAGATCAAGAGTCAGGGCAGGATGGTGTTCCATCAGAAACCTCGTAAGTTTCATGTTACCCATGCAAGATTGAAGCCACAAACTTTCTACTGTCCTATGTGACTTTGTGACTAAGTATGAATATCTGGTGGTTACATTTGAGTATTTAGATATTTTGTTGAATGTTTTACCATCTCTTGTTTTGCATGAATGTATAGATGCACGCATTGTGGAATAAGTTCAAAATCCACTCCAATGATGAGAAGGGGTCCATCTGGTCCAAGGTCACTTTGCAACGCTTGTGGGCTTTTTTGGGCAAATAGGGTAAGTATTTCTCTATATGGTTTGTTCCGGGAGAAATAAATCTTTTTTCATGTTGTTTTCTATGCATACATAAATGATAAATCTATCCATAGCAGTTGAAGTTGAAAAAAATTGAATTTGACTCTTGTAGTTACACATGCTTATAACCAAAAGACCCCCCCCCCCCTCTTAATTTGGTTGCGTTTTATGTCTCCTTATTATACTTTCTTCAATTCTATTCTCAAGTGCTACTGGTTAAACTGTAGGTATCATATTATGCATCACTTTGTATTAGTGTGGATGGACCTCCCTTTCCCACCAGATGGGATTGATGTAGGAGTATGAGTCCCATATTAGCTGGGTGTGATTAATTCCTATTCACAGTAAAGGCTCTCCCTTGCCTGGCTGTTAGGATGTAGGAGCGGACTCTACATTAAGTCAACTGTTTTGTTGTTTTATTGGATATACAAAACATATTTATGAATTGTTAGCTGAGAATTGATTCTATCTTGACAATAGTTGAGGACCTATAATTTCATTCATTCTATATAATCTGTGTTGTGAAATTTCTCAGTACATTATTTTTTATGCTCTTTTGTAGCACCATTTTGATTATCAAAATCGTCGAATGCCGTGTTACTGGATATTAAGATTTAAGATGCTATTATTGTGTTACATATTGTTTTCTTCCAAGAGTCATCAGATTTTAGATGATAATTTAATTTCCTTTTCCTCCCATATCGAAGCATATCAAGGGAGGTGGAACTACATTCTTGTGAGCATTGAGTTCAAATTTTCCCTGCTGTATATCTGGAATTTGATAATTTCATTAATTACGAATCTGGTAGTCTAATTTTTGAGTAAATTCGTGTTGACATTGGGATTCTGCAGGGCACTTTGAGAGATCTTTCTAGGAGAAACCAGGAACACTCTCTTGCACCACCCGAGCAGGTATGCTTTCATTTATTATATCTGGTTATTTGTTTACTCTGTATGGAAATAAATTCATTCTATTTCCCTCTTTTGCATCCTATGCCTAGGTTGGTGAGGGTAATGACTTGGACTGTCGGACTGCTAACCCTGCACATAACAATCTTGTTAATGATAACACAGCTTTGGTATCCGATCAGTGAGGTTTCCAGCCGTAGAAAATGTCTCATTGGCTGTGACTTTCGCAGGTTTGTAGTAATTCCATTCAGTTTGACCTATTAAATGTACAGTTATAGCAAAACTCTCTCATCAATACAAGAGGTCTATTTGTATACTCTCGGATCAATTGCATTAACTGTATGAGTGTATTAAACTGGAATCTGAATGATTACTCGATCTCATACAGTGGTCAGTGGTTTTATTTTAACCTTTTGAAAATGTGCACGACAGTATGCAATGATTCTGGTGGAATATTTTTCCTCTCCGCATTTAAATAGAGTTTTCAATTTGGATGTCTCACAAATCTTTTAGCTATGTAATTAAATTAGAATACACCACAACTTTTGTTCTTTTACACCAAAGCTTGAGTAAAGATGTCAAGGTTGAAGATTGAACAAAATAAAAACCTGGTTATGGTTTTTGGGTTTGACGAATTAAATTAACAGTTTAACCATAGTTGATAAAGAATAATCAAACTATCGATTGTTGGTTCATAGTTCGATGAAATTGGCTGGAACCACGAAAATGTGGAATGGTTCGAGATAACTAGGCATACAAGAGATCAATATATTAGGAAGGAAACTACTACAGACATTTTTACAATTAGGCAGAATCCTTTGCTACATAAAATATGTTCCTGTTTAGATCGCTTGCTTCACGTGTATCTGGCATGAGAAAAGTATGCTCAACCTTTTTCTGTTTACTCTCGTGGGCGCTGTCTAGTTTGTCTACCACTAATGGACTAAAAGACTTCAAAGATCACATACTTAGGTTAAGCTGGTAGAAATGGTAGAACACAGCCTAGAGTTGACTGCTACAATTTTTATGGTGATGTACAGTATTTTTTAAGATGGCGGCAGGTTAAACTTTTACTGGACTTGACTTAAATAATTATGCGTACATTAATATTTTAGGGCCACGTGAAGGTTTTTTATTTTCCGGGATTTTCCAGACAAAAGATGCTTCTTTGAACCAATAAATGCTTGGTAAAGTGATGCAACTTTCAATAAAATTAGACAAAACGACTTTTATGCATGTCTACATACATGTTACTATACACTAATCCAACTATCGTAACCTAGTTGTACTTTTCTTTGGGAAAAAACAACTTAATTGTACTTTGTTTTATCTTTTTTATTTACTGAGATTTAATTGCAGTTTAAGTCTTAATAGTTTGGTTTATGTATAATTTTGGGTCCTCTATTTTTTTTTTTTTATCTAATTGATTCTCTTCATTTTTAAAATTGTATAAATTTAGTCTCTACTGAATTTGTTTTATTTTAAACCCTCAAAATATTTTTAAATGTTTAAAAATAAAAATTTAGTAAAATTTTGACAATTTTTTTTAAGACATGAAATTAGGGTTTAAAGAAGCTTTATATATATATATAGACTGAAATTTAAGATTTGAATGGTGCACTTTAAGAAAAAAGTTTAAAATAATTTAATTGTTTCAACTTATTATTAAGATTGAGTGAAAAAAATGAGAATTTGAATGTCGTAAATGAAACAAAATTGACAAAAATAAATGAATTTACATATTTTAAAAATAAAAAAATTAACTTGAAAAATATAAAGGAATTAAAATTGCACGTAACAAAATTATAGTAAAGCCAATGTGTTTTTTTTTTTTTTTTTTTTTTTGGCATGAGCCGATGTACTTATTTGTACCCTAAGTTTACTGCATTTCTATGTGGTTATATCTTAAGAATGATGTACAAATAAGATGACAGGTGATGCGTAGCATAAATACGAAAAGCATATTTCTGGTAAACATCTCAAAAACAGTGAGTGCAATTTTTTTAATCAAGAAAATGACAGAAGCAGAATCGAAGAGACCAACAACCCAGAAAGGCTGAAGGCAGATTCCAATATTAAAATATTCTGCTCAGGAACTATCTATAAATGGTTAGTTTCCACTTCCAATGATGCTCAGACCAGATCATCTCACATTACATCATCACTTATATAAGTATCATAGCATCAAAATTTTTAACACTAATTTTAATGTTGTTTTACAATCTTTCTAGGTAATACACTAAGATATTTGTTATTGGATTTTTTAAAAAATAATTAATAAAAATGCAACATTAAAATTTTAAAAAAATTCTCAATGAATATATTAGAAATATTTATTAAAAAAGTTAGGATATTAAAAGCATATAATTTTTAATTTTTATTTTAAAATTGTTAAAAATATTTTAAAAACAATGTTTATTAAAATTTGGTTAAACACTGGGAGGGAGATTTTTGCTACTCAATGATTTTACCAATTCTGAACATGGTTACATTCAATAAAAAATACTTATAGTTTAAACAAAAAAATTATTTTATAAAAAATTTAAATATGCTGTATTTTAATATTTTTAAAATTTTAAAAAATATTATTTATTTATTATTATCAAGTAAAATTTCACCACTCAATTCATTAAAACAAATATGATTGATTTATTTAGAAAATATTTAACATTAAAAGTGTATTATTAAAAATATATAATTTTAATATTTGTTTATATTACTAATTAAATTATTATAATATTAATCAATAGTTATAATTTTCCTATTAAAATTTATGTGATTAAAATAAAGTTTTAGTCTTTAAATAAGTATTTCTTAAAATGTTTTTCTTTATATTATATTTTTTCTTTGTAATATATTATTTTTTTAGTATATATTTATGTTTCATTTAAATTGACTAATATAATATGATCTAAAGTTTATATAGATGAATATATGTTACTTATGAAATTTTTATTATTGTTTAGGATCATGTAATCTTGACTGCTTACATTATATCATGTAAAAAAATTATATAATTTACAAATAAAATAAATTTAAATGTATCATAATGTAAATGATTAGGATCACATGGTCATTTTTGTTATTTATAATTTTTTTCATATTTTTAAATTTAAATTTTAAAAGTTTCAACTTTATTAAATAAAATTTTATTAAAAAGTAAAAAAATGTGATATTATTAATATTATGTCTCATTAGTGTCATATCTCATTCAAATTATATAAACTAACTCAAATATTATATAAATAAATAAAGAAATAAGAGATTACATTAAAAATAAAAAGTATTTTTTGAAAGACTGTTAAAATATTTTTAAAAACACCAGATGAAAAAATGAACTATAATTTTTTCATGCTTACAGCTATCATCCTCTGTGAGCCATTGACTTCCGAAGTATCTACATCGTAATACCGTACACATTGTCACAAGGAATAACTAACTACTTCCTTTGTTCTTCCTTTTATATCAAAATGGAAAAGAAGACACAAATTCACGACACGCTGACGCCGTCAAACAAAATTTCACTCTCATTCTGAGTGCGTTTGAGGAAACACCTCTGCTCTGCGCTTCTCTTCTCTGCTCAGTTTATTCAATTTTCTCTCTCCAACATGCGTAGCTTACTTTCACTCCCCAAAATATAAAGATGCTCTATTCTCGCACCAGCCTCTGAAACTAGGGTTTCTGCTATTTGACACGTGCCGAAATTTATGGCGACTCTGAATTCGCAGCCGCTGCAGTTCGAGGACCCAGCGATAGCCGTCAACGACGACGACGACGGTGGTGTTGCTGATGTTATGGACGAGCTGGAGGATGTTAATGTTAATTCAGTGAACGTTGCGAGTGCAAAGCACGATGCAGTTGCTATGCCTTCGCGAACTAGCGAACTCACTCTCTCTTTCGAGGGTGAGGTTTATGTATTTCCCGCTGTCACGCCTCAGAAGGTAATTTTATTTTATCCGTTAGTTTTTTGTTTTATTATGATATTTGTTGTTCTTGCTAGCTTGTCGCTTTGTGACCACAGTTTCGTTTAATTTAGCACTTGTGGTGAAAAAGTGTTGTTAGGATTGTGTAAAAATAGAAATTGATGCGAGGTTTTGCTTAATTAAATAAAATGCTTAGTGGCGTAAAACTTCGTTCAAAGCGCAGATAATGAAGCCGCTTACGGAGAAGTAAAAATCAATCGACAAAATAATTTCTTAGAAGAAAGGTTGTAATGCGAAATGAATTACTATACTCTTCGGGGCATGTGACTAGGTCTCTATTACTGGTTTTTGTTTGACACAACTAAGAGGGAAATATATAAAGCAAGGGTATGAACTAGAAAAGTGCTGCAGAGTTTGGTTATTTATAGTCTGTTATTATTAATATATGTTGTGAAGAATCAGCAGTTTGACTTCCTGGGAAGTATATGGCAAAAAAATAATTCAATGCTCGATAAATTTCAAGACAGTATATGTGGCAAAAATAACAAGACAGTATATGCCATGAGATTCGTTGGGAGCGGGTGGGGACAACACTAAGTTATGCTTTTACATGTCATGTTTATGCTTGTTTAAGAAAGTAAAGAAAACCGTTACCTGCATCGTTTCCAATTTTTTTTCCTCATAAAACTCATATATCTGTATGTTTACATTTTCGATTTAGGTCTTTGGATGTTTCTGATTTTGATTTTCTTATCTAAAGCTGACCATATTATTGATTTTGATTCATCTTAATTTGTAAGCCCAATTATTGTCCATGATCCAAATCAGTAAAGTTATTAGCATACCTCTGATATTAAAAATTAAGTTACCTATTGTAAATTGATTCAAATTTCTGATCACTTAAAACAGATTGATAAAATATAGAAAATTAATCAATATTGTTTATTGAATAAAAATTACAAGTAAACTGAACTCTCCAAAAGGATGATAATTGAGCTCTTGCTGAGGAATGCTTGGTGATCAAATTTAATGTTGCAGGTGCAAGCTGTCCTGCTGCTTTTGGGAGGACGAGATGTGCAGGCAGACATGCCTACAGTTGAACTCCCGTTTGATCAAAGTAACAGGGTAATGCAGATATTGTCTGTCTTAATAAGAACAGTTCTATAATTTGTATTGCCTTTTTTTTCTGCTTGAATTTGAACACTGGCTACTGAAATCTCTAGGGCATGGGTGATACTCCAAAGCGTTCAAACCTTTCACGAAGAATAGCATCCTTGGTTAGGTTCCGTGAGAAACGCAAAGAAAGATGTTTCGACAAGAAAATTAGGTATTCTGTGAGGAAAGAGGTGGCACAGAGGTAAACAAAATTCCATATTTCACCCTTTCACCCAAAAATGTGATGATTTATTTCTAGGTTAAAATTTTGTTCACTGGAAATTGTTGACTGACTGTGATAACAATATGGTTACTCTATTGTCTCACCATTTATGCTCTTTGAAAATTATGGTAGATCTTTGAAAGTCATTTGTATGTTTTGTATCAACACTATATCATCTCAGCACCACTTGTGCAGTTGACATCTGAATACTGTTCTTGAGAAGATTGTTGTTTATAATAATTGTTTTATTAGTTTTATTAACATCACTCCTTAGGGCTGATTTTAAGCATCTAAAATTAGCAAGTTTTTATTAGGAAAAAAAGCATGTATTACATTGGAAATGTAATGGCGTAACAAATACTTTAATTTCCCAATAAAAGCTTGCTTTTATTAAATGCTTTAAATCAGCTCTAAGGGTTAGAGTTAACATTTTCCATGTTTTATTTTAGAGAAGATATAATATTGGTCTCTATCCTCATTAAGGAGAGAGTAAAAAGAAATAAATAAACTTTATAGAGCTTCCTGATCCCCTTTGTAAAAGCAATCTAGGAAATTTGTTGGGAAGAGCAATTTGCTTTAACCCATAAGCATGGTTGTCAAAATCGTGCTTCAAAGTGTTGAAGCATACAATTCAACATGTTGCAGCCTCTCCAGCGAGTCGTGCTCCACTGTGACTCATGAATATGCTTAGAGCAGAGTGAATTGTTGCTCCAGAGCAGTGGATTGTAGGAGCAGAGCATAGGATTGTAAGAGCAGTGCACCAAAAACACACAATGACTGATTTTCACTGCTCCACTGTGACTCATGAATATCCTTAGAGCAGAGTGAATTGTTGCTCCAGAGCAGTGGATTGTAGGAGCAGAACATAGGATTGTAAGAGCAGTGCACCAAAAACACACAATGACTGATTTTCACTGGGTAGGGTCGTGTGACCCATATCACTTAAAAAAAACCCATTTATAATGTTCTGTGAAGCCTAACTTGCATGACCCAGCCAGATATCAACATTCAATTCTCTCCGTGTCTATTCCCCATACATTCAACTCTCTCTAAGCCTCTGAGTTTGGACATTTCTGGTGTTGGTTATTGTGTCTAGGTTGCTGTGGGACTGCACCTGCATTCTCTTCTCCAGTTCTTAGTTGTGTGCGTTTGAGTTTCTTCATCTTTTGTTTTTGTCAAAAAACAACATTTTGGGTGTTTGTTGTGTGTCTACTGTGGGCATTTTGTTATGCTTTAGTTTTATACATTGCTTTTGTTTAGTCAAAAACTTATCTGACTTATGACTTTTGAAGTTGTATAAGATCTTATGAATTTTTAGGCTGTGATTTAAGGGCTATTTTATTTTTTCCTTAATTATGCTATGTTTAATGCATATATGTGTGTTTAAATATAATTTATTAATTTAGTTGACTCTTATGAGATGTGTTATGATTCACCACTCCTACGATGCAACACCTCCCTTCCGGTTCTAACTTTGATTCTCAATTTTGACAAACTTACCCATAGCCCCATAAGGATGTCAAGAAAAAGAATGCTTACTTATCATAATCCCAATCTTTGGCATTATGTTCCCAATGATAAGTGAGTGGTAAAATGGTTTTCCAGGCTAACAGACCAAACCTAATACATTCAAACTTGATTGCATTGAACTTTCACATAATGAAATATGAGAGCTGAATTGTCATAAGGTAAAGTAAAATCAACGAGCATATTTCTCAACAGCTAAAATAAGGAGTGAGTGACATAATGCTTTGTGTGTTGATAGTTGGTGCCTGAGTGCCATTTTGAAGTCCAGTGCCACTATTGGTCCTTTGTATGGTGCTATTTAATTTCAAGTTGTTTTTGAAGTTTAATGTGTTCTTTTATATTTATAAATGCTTTTTGTTGTTCTTTTTCTGTTGTCTTTTATTTCTTGCTAGGATGCATCGGAAGAATGGGCAGTTTGCATCCTTGAAGGAAAGCTCAGGTTCTTCTAATTGGGATTCTGCACAGAGTTCTGGTCATGATGGAACTCCTCATTCTGAATCTCTGTGAGTTTTAAGCTTAGATTTCTTGCATATATATTAGTTTATTCTAATGCAGTGGTTCTTTTGTATGTGTTTTTTATAGCTTAGAATCTGTGTTTCCTGTTTTGCAGACGTAGATGTCAACATTGTGGTGTCAATGAAAACAATACTCCTGCAATGCGTCGTGGGCCAGCTGGACCAAGGACTTTATGCAATGCATGTGGCCTTATGTGGGCTAACAAGGTTAGTCATGATGCTAATAAGTTTGGTTGTAATGAAATTCTTGGTGCGAAATTGTACTTCTTTATTTCATTTGAAGTACAACAAAAACTTGTTCCTCTAGAGGGATGGAGTTGGCTACATGGATCAAATAATATCACTGTGTTATGCCAGAATTCAAATCTTCAAAATCTGATGTAAAGTTTTTGTTTCTTTTTATATAATTCCCTCCTAAAGTAATTGGCGACTGTATATTGTGTCAATTTGCTAGACCTTTGCCATTTGATGCATTATAGTGACATTTCATTGTTCATGATTGGGACTATGGTCTCATTGGTTATATGGTATCGGAATTGTACCTTAGCAATGACATGTTTCTGACTAAATGATCTGCTGGTCATTATGTTTGTTTCTTGTTTACCTGGCATTGGCGTTGACCATACTTCACTGCATTCTCAATCTCTTTAATTGTATGTACCTTGCCAATTATCTTCATTTACCCTGAGTCCACTTCTTATATCTGACAGGGCACACTCAGAGATCTCAGTAAGGGAGGAAGAAATCTTTCTGTTGAGCAAAGTGATCTGGTATTTAAAATGGAGAGCTTAATGTTTTTCCAGATTTATTCCCTGATTGGAGGCCAGTTGTAAACACTCAAGGGGGATCAGTTCTGCATATAGTTTATACTTATATGTTTAAAATGAAATGGTTTCAGTGATGGATAAATTCTTGGGTGTGCAAATCTTAGTCAAGTTTTTTCTGGATAGGAAAAGAAAAACAAATCCACTTTTTTTGCGATGGGAAAATAAATTTTATTAGTGATAAAAGCAAGGTATACAAGTAGGAGGAAGATAAGATAATATCTTAGCCGTAAGTCAAGCTATTGATGCTCTAATTACAATTTGATCACTCCCCTTTATTAACAAAGTCAAAGATCAGCAGTCAAAATCCCATTGGATAAGGGATCGGTATGATACTAGTTAAAGAATTGTGAAATGCATTGATAATTTATACAATAATATCATATAATTTATCTGTAACTAAATGAAATGCTTTTCATTGACATTTGCAATTATTCTGCAAAAATGGTACAAATTCAACAGTGTACACTTCGGATTGTTACAAACAGATGGAGACAATATTCAGACATGGAAATAAATTTCATTTAGCTCTTTGTAAAATATTTATTATTAAACATTGTAGTTCAATGTGAAGATTTAGGTTAAAGTTATTCCTAACCTGAACCCAAGCCACTTCTTTTTCAAAAGAACTCCAAAACAATCTTCCCCCTATAAGGGTGAAAAACAAACTAAATAGTTTTGAGTTTGGTCAGAATGATTTGGATTTTGAATGCTAGTTGTTTTGAACAGCCTTCCCTGGAGATCTTCGTGGCACTTATTGTTTGGTCCTTTAATGTAAGTCCTAAAAACATAGATGGTTTACCGAACAATTTGAATGGAATTTGCAGGACACTCCTGTTGATGTCAAGCCAACTGTTCCTGAAGAGGAATTGCCCAGCATCCATGATGAGCAAGTGGAATCTTTTACATATATCAAATTCATTTTCAGCCCTGCAAATGTTTTTCTGTTTTCATGAAAACTTTTGTGGTGTATGCAGGGTATTTCTGAAGATCCTTCCAAGGCCATTGCTGCTGACGGTTCTAGTAATCATGCTGTAAACCCCAGTGAAGAGGTAGTTTTAAATTTCTCTGTCTATATATATTCTTTCACATCCATTTTGGAGTATTCAGACATCTTTTCTTAGGTATTGAATTGAGAAAATCAAAGCTTCTCATGAATTGTTGTGAATTGTGATACTTGTAATGGGTATTGTGATAATTCTCTTGTTCAGGAATTGCCTGAAACTGCAGAACATTTTACTAACACAATGCCACTGGGAATTGGTCATTCTTCAGCAAACGATGATGAGCAGGTATTCCTACTTGAATAATGTTACCTATACAACTCTTGTGCTCACAAGTCACAACTCTGCATAACAGTACAGGTGGCTTCATCTGAGTTTAACTATTGTTACTGCTTAAATGAGTGTCATTTGATCTACAGGAACCTCTGGTCGAGCTTTCTAATCCTTCATATACAGATATTGACCTTCCTGGAAACTTTGATTAGAAGGTACTCAGTGATTCATTACGTTAGGGGTTTTTATATAAATGGTCCCCCTGTAGCATATTGTCCGTGTACTAATGAGATGCAGATATAGAAGCAGTGATACATACCATGAGACAATTAGGAAAGTCTGGGTTATGACTAAATGTAGCCCCCAGAAAATGGAAGTGATTACTGATTAGCAATTGTCAAGAAGCTCTGCTGTTCCAGCCTAACATTAAGTGGTCTGCAATATTGATGCTGGTATAGGTGCCAAAATGCTGTTTGTGTATACATTATTAGATGATCTTCCTTCAGTGTTTATATCATGAGATATTCATTAGTTAGGGTCCTTGTTAATAAAAATGCTGTCTCCTTGTCCCTGACTACAATTAATTCGTTGAGATCAAAGCGCTTCTACCCTGATTTTGGAGATAAAAAACTTTGGTGATGCTGTGCCACTCAAGGATGGACTGCTAATTTGAATATCAAGGTAGCGGTGTGCTAATACCGACCTTTGATGGCTTGTGCTGCTGGGCTCTTTGTGAGAACATTTGGATACATTCAATTCGTGCAAACATACTTGTTCCAAATGTACATATACATATAAATAAATGTCATTTTGTGTTATCGTCTTCTGTGTTCTTCCATACATATGTATCTTTGCTGTTGCGATGCCTGGAAAAGAATTGCCACCGTTGTCATCATATCCTAATCCTAATATTGTTCTACATAGTTAAACTAAATTTGTTAGAATGATTACGTGACCTTGAAGTAAATTAAACGCTGGTTTAAGTTAATTACAACTGATTGTTGGTGCACTATATTGCAAGTTCCGAAGCAGAAAATGTTATACTGTAAGAGTATAATATCGTTTCTTTTGGCAAAACTATCATTTATTGTTTGTTTGGTTGAATGGAGAAAAGAGGAGGGAAAGATTTGAACGAAGTGAAGGAAAGGGGAAGGGAGGATAGGGAAGTTAAAGGATTGAACCCCTGTTGCATCTCATTGTCTCCTTATCTGTCCTACTATTGAAAATTGACACATCATTTGAAAATATTGATGTCACTTTGTCATTTATGTAATCATATTCTAAAGCCATTATATTGAATTCCTACTCTCTACTTGCCCCCTCTCCCTTGTGTTTTTTCTGTGTCACATTCGCAACTCTTGTCTACCACCTTTTGTCCTCGTCTTTTTTTATGCTTTTTATAGTTTTGTACACACAGGGCCTGTTGTATCTGTAGCTTCAATAATTATTATCTTATTGTCAAATTGTTATGTTGTACATATCAATTATATCTTCATTCATAGAAAAATTTTGAGACACGAATAAACTAAAGATGTATATATTCTTTAGCAGCCTTCTAGAGATGTAGACTTTGTTATGAAGAAATCTAATTCTGACATATCTGTGTGTATGATTATGACTTATCTTTGTGTTATTTTGAATTTTGCTTGGTGACTGCTAAAGAGATAAGATTGAACTAGAAAAAAAATACGCAGTGAAGGAAGAATATAAAAGTATCAAATGAAGTTAAAGTGAATAAGAATTTGATGCATACATTTTAAATGACATCAGATTTTTACTAGTGGGATAGGATAGGAAAGGAAAGGCAAGGTGAGATAAGATTTTTATTTGAAATTAAAATTTCTTGCTTGGTTTGACAAATATCTATGAAATTTTTGTAAATTTAAGTGATATGTGTCAATTTATTCTAGACACAAAATGATGATATTTTATAATATTTTAAAAATAATTTAATTTTGTCTCTGATTTTTAACATTTTCAATAAAGTACTTTATTTGATTTGAAATTTAGTACCCACATATTATTAAATGAATATTTATCATCTTTTTACAGTGTACAATGGTTCCCATTTATACAACTATGATAATTAATTCTGTGCTAAAATTATGGGTATCAATTATACCCAATTATGCTAATTACATAAATAAGGAAAGAGAGAAAATAGAGAAGAAAATCAGAATATTTTACAACACTCTCTCTCAAGCTGGTGAATGAATATCTATACCAACTTGCCAATAAGATTTTGAAATTGTTTTGTAGGTAGTCTCTTAGTATGAACATACTTCTAGATGGTACATATGTCGTCTCTATGAGTCCGCTATCTAATTTCTCTTTAATGAACTTTCAATTCACCTCTATGTGTTTTGTTCTGTGATGTTGAACTAGATTATGAGCAATTATTAGAATATTTGTTATCACAAAATAGTCTCATAGGAGCTTTATATTGTATCTTGAGATCATTCAGTATGTTTCTCATCCACAACAATTCACATATCCCTTGAGACATGGATCTATATTCAGCCTCAGCACTTGATCTTGCTACTACATCTTGTTTTTTACTCTTCCATGTTATTAAGTTTCCTCCTAGGAACATACAATATCCTAAAATGGATCTCCTATCAACAACCAATCCAGCATAGTCTACATTTGTGTATGCTTCCCGTAATAACTCACCTTTTCTCTTAAATAGCAATCCCTTTCCCAGGTTGCCTTTCAAATATTGAAGAATTCTATTTACAACTTGTAGGTGTCTCTCTCTCTCGAGGATCATGCATGAATTGACTGACTACACTGATAACATAGGCTATGTCAGGTCAAGTGCGAGATAAATAAATGAGTTTTCTAACAAGTCTCTAATATTAGGCTTTATCAACTACTGAACTCTCTTCTTCGCTACCAATTTAGTAGTTCTGCTCAATAGGAGTTTCAAGATTTTTGCACCATAACTTGTCTGTTTCTTTTAGGAGATCAAGGACATGTTTCCTTTGAGATATGAAGATGCCTAGTTTTGAATAAGCAACTTCAATCCCTAGAAAGTATTTTAGTCTTCTGAGATCTTTTAACTCAAATTGAGCTGCTAATTTTTCTTTAACACCTGTTTTTCACCATCATTAATACTTGTAATAATCATATCATCTCTATAAACTAAAAGTAGCGTTAGTTTACCACTATGTGAATGTTTTATGAAGAGAGTATGATCACCTTGGTTTTGCATATACCCCATGAAAATCATAGTTTGAGAGAACCTTTCAAATCAGACACGAGGAGATTGCTTTAGTCCATATAATGCCTTCATTAAGCTGCACACTTTGTCTCCTTTGGAATCATATCCAGGTAGTATTTCCATGTATACTTCTTCTTCCAATTCTTCATGTAAAAAGGCGTTCTTTACATCAAATTGATTTAACTTCCATCTGAAGTGAACTGCCAAAGAAATGATTACTTTGATTGTGTTCATCTTTACCACTGAAGCGAAAGTCTCCTCATAATCAACCCATACATCTGAGTATATCCTTTAGCAACAGGTCTTGCTTTGTATCGTTCAATGGAGCCATCGGATCTATATTTCAAAGTATAGACCCATTTGCACCCTATTGCCTTTTTGTTTTTGAGCCTTTCAACAATCTGCCAAGTCTCATTTTTCTCCAGAGCATGCATCTCTTCATTCATGGCTTGAATCCAATTCTCAATTTTTAATGCTTCATGTACTGATGTGGGAATCTGAATAGAATCAATAGCTGAAAGAAAACCCAAGTGCTGCATGGAAAGATGTTTAGTAGACATAAATTGGGAAATAGGGTACTTGGCACAAGACCTTTTTTCTTTTCTCAAGGCAATGGATAAATCATTAGAATTACCTATACTTTCCTTTGATTTGGACGGTTGGACTTGCTGTAGCACCAGGTCGGGTGTCCTTCGTCTTTGGTAAACCAATATTGGAGCTGATGTTGGTTTCCCAATAGGATCATTGTTGATGTTTCAATAGTGTTGTTTAGTGTAGGTGTCAAATCCTGTATAACCAATGAAGACACACTTAAGAGTTCTGGGATCTAATTTTTCACGATGTTGCCGGTGGATATGAACAAAGACAGTGCATCCAAAAACACGACACTCTAGACTATTCATAATAAGAACAGAAGACAAGAAAGAGGATATAATCTGAACAGGACTGACTCCATCAAGAACACGAGTGGATAACTTGTTTATCAAATATACAGCTGTCAAGATTGTTTCTCACAAATAAAATTGAGGAACGGACATTTGAAAAAGAAGAGCTCTGACAACTTGTAGTAAATGACAGTTTTTTTGGTCTCCAATCCCATTTTACTGTGGGGTGTCAACACATGTCAGTTCATGAAAAATACCATTCTTTTTCAAAAAAATTAGAGAAGGATAGGTTCACATATTCTCTTCCATTATCAGAACATAGTCGTTTTATTGTTTTTCCAAATTGAGTTTGAACCATATGGAAAAAATTCTGAAAAAGGTGTACAACTTCAGTTTTATCCTTCATCAAATATATCCATATTACTCGAGAGCAATAATCAATAAAAGAAACAAACCACTTTGCACCAGAAATATTAGACACAGAAACAGGTCTCCACACATCAGAATGAATTAGGTCAAATGGCTCAACACTTTTGTTATTATTACTCAGAAAGGTTGCACGATGATATTTTGCAAATTGACAAATATCATAATTAAAAGACTAAATGGATTATTTTAAAAATAAAGAGAGATACATAGACCTAAGAATACTAAATGGCGGATGACTTAGACGCTTGTGCTATTGAAGCCAAATTTGAGATGTTGTAGAATTTGAACTCGTTTAAAGGCAAGATTGTGGCACCATTTGTCTTCCATTCTCCTTTATTCCCATGCTCTGTAGATAATATAACTCACCTTGTTCCTTAGCAGTTGCAATCGTCCTCCCCATGGTAAGATCCTAAAAGACACAATGAGAAGGGAAAAAGGTTACTTTACACTTCAAATCTCGAGTGAGTTTTTGGATAGATATTAGATTATTAGATAGTTGAGGAACATGTAACACATTATGAAGAGATAAATAAGGATTGAAGAAAATGGCACTACTCCCGAAAACTAGAGTATGGGACCCATTAGCAACAGTAATGTGTTGGTTGATAAATGAGCTAGAGTAGGTGAAGAAATAGGAATGATGGGGTGTCATATGGTCAGTAGCACCAGAGTCAACTAAGAGATCCTTAGGCATAGTATCAGAAACATTAAAAGAAAAGATCCTAGAATTCTTACCGATCATTGCAAGAGAGCAAGTACTAGATTGCTTACTGGGTTTAGGGTTTAGAGTATGTGAAGAAACATGAATGATGAGGTGTCATACGATTAGTAGCACCAGAGTCAACTAAGAGATCCTCAGGCATAGTACCAGAAACATTAAAAGAAAAGATCCTAAAATTTTACCAGTCATTGCAAGAGAGCAAGTACTAGATTGCTTACTGAGAGACTCCATGAAGTTTTTCAGGTGCTTCACTCAGCTTTTAATACAGGTGTTTCCTTTGTAGTAGGCTGAGTTGATTGATCTTTGTTTGCATCCTCCACATCATATACTGCTTGATGATCCTGTCTTTGTGCATGACCTTTAAATCCACCTAAGCGATTAAGCACCTTCTCTTTCCCATGAAGTTTGAAACATGTATCCTTGGTGTGGTCACTCTTTTTGCAATAAGAGAACCAATGGTCCTCCCTCTTGTTGGCCGTAAAATTTCTAGTTTTGGGAATCTTGTTGGACGTCAGGGCAGACCATTTTCCTATTCTCCTTGCCTTGAACAATGAAGAATATCTCAGAAAGTGATGGAAGCTTATCCTTTTCAAGAATTTGAACCCATATCAGATCATATTCATGATTAAGTCCAGATAAAAGCTTGGAAATTCGAGGCCTCTGAGTAGACTATGACATAATGGCAGCATCCTTGCTGTTCTCCAATTTCAAATTTTGGTGTTGATCTAATTCCACCCACAAACCATTTAGGTGCTCATAGTAATCAGTTATCGAGAGAGAATCTTGTTTAGCACTAAAGATTCTACTTTCCAACTCATAACAAGTGGAGATGTCTTGCTTCATCGAATATATCTGACGAAGACTATCCCATATCTCTTGAGTTATGGAAAAGAACACATAATTTTGGCTGGTCTTCGGCACCATAGTACCCTACAACCATGTCATAATGAGAGAGTCCTCATCATCTTATGCCTTAAAGTGTGGGTCCTTTGCAGTAGGAGCATCCCCTTCAATATGGTTTAACCTTTTCTAATCCTTTAATGTCCTTTGAATAAATTGTGCTCACACAAGATAGTTCTGACCATTGAGTTGGTTAGCTGAAGGTAATGCTGGAAGATTATTCAAGGTTAAGGTTCCAAATCAGCAGGGTTTGGAGTCTCTATTGTAGCCATCACGATGAAGCAAACTGCAAAAAACACAAAACACAAAATTCGTAGGGTGTAGCTTCAACAATGGCAGTTGTGGCCAAAACAAAATAGAGAAAACCAGCAAGACAGGAAATGCAAGATATAGCGAATCTTCTGGTGTCAACAACGTTAAATTTTGATTTTGGTTATGAACAATATTTTCAACAGTGAATAGTGTTTCTGATAATGAACAGTGTTAAGATTGAAAAAAAATGCATAGCAAAGGTGCGATGACCGCAATGAAGGTGGCTAAATAATTTTAGGGCGCAGAAGCAAAGCCCCCAAGATCGGGAGCTCTAATACCAAGTTGAAATTTGGTACCCACAGATTATTGAATTAATATTTCTCATTTTTTTACAATGTACAATGATTCCCATTTATACAACTATGGTAATTAATTCTATGCTAAAATCATGGGTATCAATCATACCCAAATATGCTAATTACATAAATAAGGAAAGGGAGAAAATAGGGAAGAAAATCATAATATTTTACAACACTTTGTCTTCTATTTCACCTTTCTACTACGTCATCTTCCTTTTTTCGATCACCTTGCAATAGTATTCAAAATACAAAATCTCTCAGGTTTTGTCATAAGATTTGAAATAAATTGGATGAGGAAAAAGACATAGTAAAGACTGGTTTTATTGAAATTGAAGGATAATTTATTGTAATCGAAGGGGGTAAAGTTATCCAAGTCGTGTGGGGTATAGAGTGGGTTGGTGAAAATGTTAGATTTAAATGTAGATTTAATTGATATAACAGTGGAGAATGTGGTGGTTTAAAGATGATATTTGGGTTAATGAGAACTTAAACTTGTTGGGTTATGTTTAGGAGAAAAAAGATGAGATCTTAGTTGAACAAAGAGAGAACTGCAAGTGAAGCTACTACCATAGGAAAAAGACAAAACAAATACTATAAAAGAAGGAACATCATTATAGCAGCACTAACAAGAAAAATGTAAGAATAAATCATGAAAGAATGTGAAATAAATCTTATTTCTAAAAATGTTAGAAGTAAGAGATGAAAATGAACTATTTTTAAAATTTTATATAACAATGTCATTTTTTGTAAATAAATAAATAAATTGACACACTTATTTAACATGATAAGTCATTTTTACTTAATTTTAACATCTTTAATGATAAAGATTGATGTAATTAACGATTATTAATTTGAAAGACTAAAATTTTAAAAATTAAAGACTAATTTTAGTTAAGTTGCATATTTTTAAAATAAAAATAAAAATTTATCCGTTAATAATTTTATTAATTTTTTTTATTGATTGAGAACTAATTTGTAACCAAAGTTGTTAATGTCATGTTAAAAACATATCATGAAAATGAAAACACAAAGATCAATTGAAGAAATTAATGAATAAATAACTTAAAAAATTAAAATATAATAAATAATTAAAACTTCTTCTTCATGTCTATATAATAATATTAAAAAAATACTTACATTCTTTTATGAAAATATTGACTATGTAACATGCACCAATAAATTTATTCTATTAAATTTCATTAAACTAAATTATAAAAAATCACTCATATTTTTAAATTTATCAAATTTATTAGTAGTTAGACACTAAAATTTAATTAGTTATGACTTATTATAATAAAAAATAAATCAATAATATTTTTTTAAAAAAAACGTACTTAAAATACATTCCGATAATATATCCTTATAAACATATTAAATAAATATTTTATAAATTAAAATTCTATGACTTTTCCATTTGTGACTGTATACGTGAGACTTAAAAACTTAATTTAATTAATCTCATGTGAAGGAAGAACGCAATTGTTTTGGATAAAAAAATTGTTTAACTCTTTCCGTAAAAAAAGAAAAAACAATTATTGGCTCAAACGCCAACTGACTCCATTTTCTGCAACAAAAGATTCCCCAGTCCGCGCCAAATCAAAAAAATCATCACGATCGGAACAATTACTATCCATTTTCTTTTACTGCACCTACCTTTAGTAGAAATAGAACAGGGTTTACACTTCACGTTCCATTCCATTTCATTCCATTCCGATCTCTAAATCACCCAAAGTCACGACTCAATCGCTTCTCCCGACAGGTACTTCTCATTTACCCAATCAATTTCATTTTCCATTTCCCCAAACCACCGTCTAATTTCTAGGTTTTCCCAATTCCCTTGCTTTCTCCCTCAGATAATAATGATTCCCGCAAGATGAAGAAAAAAAAGCACAGCGAAACAGCAAAGGAAGACAGGCTCAGTGACTTACCAGATTGCGTTCTCCTTCACATATTGACATTCGTGAACGCCAAACACGCCGTACGAACTTGCGTCTTATCCAAACGCTGGAAGAATCTCTGGAAGAGCCTTCCTTCCCTTATACTACACTCTTCAGACTTTTGGACTTTCAAAAGCTTCACCAAATTCGTGTCTCGCCTTTTGTCCCTTCGCGATGGCTCTGTCGCACTTCACCATCTCGATTTCGAGCGTCACGGTTGCATTGAGCCTCAACTTCTCAAGAGAATCGTGAAGTACGCCGTTTCACACAATGTTCGTCAGTTAGGAATCTCTGTTATGTGTGATATTAATCACATTCCGCTTTCAATATTTTCTTGTCAGACTTTAACATCTCTTAAGCTTTCGGTTTGCCCTAAGGGTTACATTTATGGAAGCACGTTGTTTCCCAAATCTCTGAATTTAGGAGCGTTAATCAGCTTGCATCTTCAGCATTTTACCTTTTGCAATAGCGACAATGACCGAGCCGAGCCGTTTTCGGCATGTAACAGGTTGAGTGATTTGATTATTGACCATTGTACGGTAAGAGATTCGCTAATTCTATGCATATCGAGTTCAACGCTCCGGAGCTTAACTATGCGTTCTGATCATTCTAAGGACTTTTACAAAATTGAGTTGTCTACGCCAAATCTTCGTAGTTTCACTTTTACGGGTACTCCGTATCAGCAACTCATTGGGAACAATCTTTCCTCTCTTGAACAAGTGAATATTGATGCTGAAATCTGGTCAACTTCGTTGGAATCGCCTTTGATCCTATTTAGCTGGCTGCTAGAGCTTGCTAATATAAAATCGTTGACAGTTTCTGCAAGTACTCTTCAGGTACCTTTGCTTAGCATATTTTGAGCCTTTGTGATTAGTTTTTTCGTAGAATGTTTTTTTTTTTTGTGTGTGTTAAAACTGATTTGACTTGCATTCTGTTGAATTGTGTCTAATTCACCCTGTTGTTAATTGCTTAGGTTCTCTTCTTAATTCCTGATTTATTGAAGATTAAACTCCCTTGCTTGGGTAACTTGAAGTCGTTGAAAGTGAAACTGAAACCACTTTCACCTATATTTTCCATGACAGTGAAAGCTGCCAAGTCATGGAAAGCAGCACTGAAACCATCTCCACCACCTATACCTGATGGAATAGTGGACTTTTTGCTTCAAAACTCGCCATCGGCAAAAGTTGACATGATAAATTTCTCAAGGTGAAATATGAATTCAAGTTTTAAATAGAGAATCTTATAATTGGTTTTATTTCTGCATCATTCAATTCTATGTTGCTGTCTCCCTTGGTCTCTCTGATTATAAGTAATTATCGGTGGATAAATGAGTCCCTTGGGTAGAGGAACAAATTTGCAAATGTATAATGATTGTATCCAAATCTCAACTTAAGTGGATGGTCTATGGCAAGGATTGGTAAAATGTTGTTGCTTTTGGTTGTATTAAATGAAAGAAAGTTAATGGCGGTTAAATAAAATCTTTATTTTGTGGTTAATGAATGTCAATGATAAAAAAGAAAGAATTTTGAGATGTTGATGGAATGTAGAAACTAGAATTTTTGTGTATAATGAAACTGATACTCCATGATGTGTGTGTGGTTTATCCATCTTAAATCACAGCAAATACTTAGTGATAGTCATTTTGATGTGCAGTATTCTTTCTAGTTGATTATTTGATTTGCTTAGTGAATAACTCATCCTTGAAGAGCAGACTATTCAATATTCATTGAAAACTGGAAGCTAAGCGAACAGAAAATCTGCAAAGAAACCAAAGTTTTATGCGGCTTTGGTTTGAATTTTGGGAGTTGCAGGTTCTCTATGCAGTTTTGCATGCAAGTCCTCAAATTCTATTTTAAAAGAAGACAATTTTAGGCACTAATATTCATTCTAGTTACTTCTGAGTTTCCTTTGTTTTAGTTGCATGCATAGTAGACAGTAGCAGCTGATATCGCGGAGGTGCGAAGCAGCAGGGTGCTGCTAATCCCATTGTCGTCATGTTTCATTGTAGCCGTTGTGCTACAAATAGCAGCCAAGAACAAAGCAAATTGCGGCCATCATAGCATAGCTGCTATTTCATCCTAGGTCAAATCCCTACTTTAACCCTCACTTTCTGAACGTTGGGCGGCTTTAGGGGGGGTAATCTTGAGATTTTGCCCCTTTTTTTACATTTCTGATATCTTCTTCTCCTTCGTCGAGCAAGCCCTAAGCTCCTATCTCATTCTCATCTCTCAGTTCTCCTCTTGTTCTGTTCTTCTTCATCTTCGTTTCTGCAACATCATCTTGCTTCCGGTGTCCATCATCTTTGTCAAAGCTTCTGACACTGCAGACTCATTTTCTGGTCATCTTTTTCATCTTTGGTGAAGTTTTCGATGTGACCCAAATGTTCTCCAGTCTTCTTCAACTACAACGAAGCTTCCAATGTGACTCAAATATTTTTTAGTCATCTTCATCTCCAGCAAAACTTCCAATGAAGTAGGTTTTTCGGTGACTGACCATTCTTGTTTTCTATTTTCCTTTTCCGTTTTTTATTTTCTCTCTCTGTTTTGATTTTATATTAGGTATATTTAAAACTTTAGAATAGCAGTCATCTGCTCTGGTGTTTTTAGGGTCATTAGCTCCACGCCACTATCCAAGATTGACTACTATGGTTGCATGATAGTTTTGATAGATACCTACTCTATCTGGACTACATTTGGTTAGATTTGAGGTTGATGACCAGCTACTAAAAATGCAGAGCTCTCAATGATTTATTTTTTGGAACAGCAGAAATGAGAAGAATTTGTGTGCAAGTATCCAGTACCGAACTTTTAATTGGTGATAAAGTAAAAGGGATTATAACATATGATCTTTGGCAAAAGAAACACTGGAGTTTTTCCCCCACAATTTTCATAGTGCTTGGTTTCATTTTCATAATATTACACATGCCAAACTGAAATTTGACATCAAAACTTGATCATGTGCACGGGAACAAATTATTTTTATTGCAAAATGATAGATTTTCGGTTACCGCTATCAATTTCTTGATATTCCATGTTCAATTATTGTTTATATATGCGTTGTTTTAACTCCTGTTAACTTTTTGAATTGATTGATTTTGCTGTTACATTGATATGTTACTTTTTGGGCTTTTGAATCATATAGGTGAATGCAACGAAGATTCAGTCGAGAAGCACCAATCCAACACCTACTACGTGATAGTGGGTGGTGAAGGGTGCTAATCGACAATATCTCCTTACAATGCCTTCTTTATTATATTAACCTTCCTTTTTGGATTCTAGGAAAAAAAAATAGTTCTGCTAACTTTAGTGAAGCGCCTGCTGTCTCATTTGGTAAAACATCTTGGATGTCCACAATATCATTCTTGCTGATACAGTCTCAATTTTAAAGCTAAATTCTAATATGCAGACCAAACGACTTTCCGGGAGTATCCCTCGTGTTAAATTCTAATGTACGAATGCTGTACCTCTCATTTGTATGTCTACTTGTCTGTGTATGAATGGGTATATTCTGTTTTGGGAGTCTTTATGAATCATTTAGTTCCTGCTAGACCTGCATCGATGACTAATTTTGTTTTCTGAGCGAGATAATTCAAGTTAATCAATATATTGTGTACTAGAGAGAAAACTTGGCGTTTATTCATATTTCATTTATATTGTTTTGTTTCTAACGAAATATGGAGCCCGAATTGAATATTTATACAAGCTACCGGTATATACGACCAGAAAATTTTGATAGACGAGAGATGAATGTGCATCTCAACAGTTAGTAGAGGTTAATGGGGAGTAGAAAATGTTAGATTAGCGAGCGAGGTTGATATAAACTAAGGTTGATATATATGTATGTATGTATATGTCTAAGATTAAAAATCTACATGACTTTTTTTTATTTCATCCTATGATTTATTGTGTCTTTATTCTTATATGAAAGTATTTTTATAAAATATTTCTCTTCACTATGATATGTGACTTTTCTTGTATTTGATTTTTCAATTTAAAGTTTAATTATAATTTTTAATTTATATTTCTTTAAATTAGTTCTATTTAAATAATATAATATTCATTAGTAATAATGAAAATATTTTGAAAAATTAAATTTAAAAATACTTATCTAAAAAATTTTGATTTTTTATTTTAAAGATTATTTTAATTTAATAATACTTGTGGATTGTATAGAAACTTTATCAGTTATTTTTATTTTCAATATTCAACCAATCTACTATTATTAACACAAAAGTTGTTAACATATTTGTGGCATAAATTTTTTTATTAACATATTTGTGTATACAAATTAATATCTTTATTTTATGTTTTGTTTTAATTAATGTTTTATTTATATCTTTATTTATTAATTGAAACTTCTAATAAATCTGTGCGTTGAATGAATAATTTAGCGAGCATATCGTTAAATGTTAAATAACTAATAAGAAATCAGATCTAACAGCAAATTTATAGATGTGAATCCTGTCGAATAGCCGAATAGGGTTTGAAATAATGGCATCTTTTGAGAAAGAAGGAACCGATTAAACTTGGGTATACAACATCGAGTTAGGGTAAAGGCAAATGTCAATAAGAAGGAATTTATACTTTGTTTAGTATGCAAGAAAATGCCAGGGAAAGGAAGTGATAGAAAACGCATTTTTCAAAATCTCTTCTCTTATTTGGCTGTATTTGAATAGTAAGAGAAGGAAAAAAAAAACCCATGAAACCTAAATATTTTTTTCTTCCCTTTATTTAAGCCAAGAAAATGCCAAAACCGAGAAAACAAAAAAAAATTGGAAAAATTATCAATTAAAAATAATTGAAATTTTATTAAATTATAGGGGGTATAATAATCTAATTTTAAAAATCTTTTTCCTTTTCTTCAATTTCTTTTATATTTCTAACATACCAAACATCTTAAATTATTTATTTATTTACTACTTATTTTTTCTATTATTTTATTTACTTATGTCACGAAGTGTTATTAAACGGTAAAATGTGTGTTTTGGTCACTCCAAATGATTCAAAGCACTTGCATACCTGTTTATTTTGCCTACACAACTTCCTATGGAACTATGGAAGGTTGAAGTTATTGAGTTAAACATGTTACCTCCCTATTCATTTAACATCTTGACTTAATACGGAGTTCAAAGAACCGTTAACAGGTTGAAGTTAAATTATCTTGGTAAACGACAACATTTAATAAAATATTATAATTAACAAATAATTTTATTAATATAAAATATTTCATACATATTACTAACATTAAATATTAATAGAAATTATTCTATTATTAATTTAAATTTATAGTATTCATACACATAATTTAATTTTTGTTAAACAAAATTATAATAATGATGCTTTTTAACATTTAATACTTTGTTGTTAATACATAATTTTTAAGTAAAATAATCTCAATTTAATATAATAATAATAATAATAATAATAATAATAATAATTCTTGTAATAAATAAGCTTAATTGCAGTTGTTATTCATATAATTTAATGTATGTGCAATTTTAGTTTCCTTAGTTTTAATTACTCACATTGAATCTTTTTAGATTTTTAAATTTTTAAATTAAATCTTTCAAACCAAAATCAAGGATTTTTATTATATTTTATACATTTTATTTTTTATGTTTACTTAAATATTTTGTAGATTTTTCTTTATTTATTTGTATAAAAATAAATAAATTTTCATACTTTTATTTTATTTATTAAATTTTAAATTTAAAAAATTTAATTTGAACATTTGAAATATTAAAAGAGTTAAATTTAAAAAATCCTAAAAGTACAATAGAGATTGTAACTAAATCTAATAAATAATAAAAAATAATAGACATTTTATTCGATTTTTATCCAATATTATATATATTTTATATGTTAATATAAAAGATGTTATATTTTGCGTTTGGGCTAAGCAAACGCAAGAAACAAAAGTAGGAAAGGAGTGACTGTACTTATATATACACTTCGGCAGAGTAGTATGAAAAAGTTGGACCGAGAGAATTTCTCTTGCCTATATCTGTCGTTAGGAAAAGAAGACGTTTGTAGCTTTGGAATTGTGTTCTCGAACATGCGATTCTTTTTCCAACTTTTATTTTTAGCGATGACGCTTCAGTTGCAGAATTCTCCGTCCAATCTCTGTCAAACGTAAACGAAAATTTTAAAAGAAAGCGCAAGAAGTGATTTCAATCGCAAGAGCATCTTTTCAGTGAATGAATCTTCATATATTCTTTAACCTCCACTAATAAACCATTTTCCTTTTCCTCCTATAAAGATTGAAACTCGACGCTTCTTTTTCATTCTTTATTCTCTTTTTTGAGTGTGGAAGCCAAAAACACTGCCATGGCTCCTTCTCGTCTTCTTCATTTTGATCTAATTGAAGGAATGCAACTTGTGGTACACGTCTTTCCATTCAGTGGTAAATTACATGTTAAAGAAATAAAGAAGATACTAGTTAATACTTTATTTGTTGGTTCTTCTTAGATTAATATATCTGGATCCTTGGAGAGGCACAACGTGCGAATTGAATTTCAACTCAAGAATTGTACAAGGACTTGGATCCTGCACTGGGGTTTTGTCTTCAATGGGGATAAGTAAATAATAAAACCTTTTTTTTTTCCAATAAAATTGTTTGGTGTGCATTTTGTAGAGAAATCACCCGCACTATCAGTGTGCATGTGCTAGATTTATGCGGATAAATATTTTTTTAAATGGTTTATGATTTTTTAAAAAATTTCTACACTATCTAAATCTTTGATGTTTTGTCGTACGTAAATTAATTGTTGTTTCACAAAATAATTGTTTGAAGTCCAAACTGCAAGTGGAATGTACGAAGTTTATTTTGTGTCCATAGGAATTGGTTCATTCCAGCTGGTAATTCTTCGGGAGCGAAATCCTACAAGCACGGTGCATTACAGTCACAGTTTACAAAGGTTTTATCCTTAAAATTCAATTTTTAAACAATACGGTTATAATTGATACATGTTAAAATTTTCATGCATAACTTGCAGCATGGACAGATATACATGCTTATCATTGAGATGCGGGATCCTAGCATACATGCCATTGAATTTGTTCTAAAAGATGGCAGTCATGATAGATGGTTTGCTTCAAAATTTTTAAATAAACTAAAATTCATACCAATTTTTCTTGGTTTTCAATTTTTACACATTGAACTTCTCCAGTGTTATTTTATTTGTTGGCTTCTAGGTTGAAACTGAACCACAAAAATTTTCGAATAGAGATACCAGCAAGTGATGCTCCTGTAATATCTTATTCTGATTCTAGCATACCAAAGGACATGATAGAACACAAGGCTTATTCACTGTGGGAGAGTAAGGGTAGGCCTATAAGTTCGCCACAACAACAGAAGGTAGTTTTGGAAACAAGTTGCTTGCTTCAAGAAACTTTCTATGATGCTTGTTCATATTTTAACCACTATTTATAACGAGGAGTATTTTTGGTGGGAGATCTGGGCAGACTTTTTTTATGGTGTTGTGTAGATGTAGTTTAACTATCATTAAGGTAATATTAAATTTCTTTGGCATGAATATTGATACACTTGTAACCTTCATCTCCACCGTTTCTATACCTGTAAGCTCTTCCACTATGAAATGACAGACTATGTATTGAAGTGGGCCTAGGTAATTTTCATCCTAGTCCTTTCATTAAGATGCAATTTCAAAGAGTCTTTTCCTGTGTTAAGCTTTTTCGCTGTCTTCCTGCTGTAGCTATCTTCTCTTTATGTTAATAAAAGTATGGTCATTATGTTTTGTATTTATATAAAAGCCCTACCTGGTAATGCAACCCTATGATGCATTTTCTGAAACAAATTTCAGTCTTATTTGTACTTTTTACATTTTGATGCAGCAAGATTATGATGATGCATTGAGAGAGCTCCAAAATCACCTATCAAAAGGAATAACCTTAAATGAGTCATGGAATAGTCATGCAACTGGAGGAATAAAACCTGTGAGTAATAACAGAGATCAACTCAGGAGCGGTATGCGATATTCCTACCATAGGAAATACAATGTTGAAGACTGGTTACAAAAGCATTCTGAAGGGGACAAAGGAACTGTGTCAACATCAGCTTTGATAAATCTTGTAGAGAAATTTATAGGTGGAACAAATGTAATGTCAAGGAAAATATATCATGTTCACAACTATGAAATTGTGGTTAGTTTTCTTGTTATCATTCTTGTTCGCTTAAAGGCATAAATTTTTCAACAGTTTTAAATCGTTCATGCATTGATAGGTATTTTCAAAATTTATTAATGGCGACAACCACATTTTCATTGCTGCAAACACGAAAGGTACTACGGTGCTTCACTGGGGTGTATCTAAGTTGTCTCCAAGTGAGTGGTTGGTGAGTCATGTGATATATTCTTAAGCCTTCTGTTGTAACTGTTACACGTTTTTTGTTCATTATCTGATTTTTCTACATTGTGGTAGGTGCCACCACAAGAGATATGGCCAGATAACTCAAAAATGGTTTCTGGTGCATGTCAAAGCTATTTTAGAGATAAGTTTACTGGAAATAGATCATTTCAGGTAATTTTTGCAAGTGCATCGTTTCCTACTACTGTGATTGGTGTGTATTTATTAGAGTTTGGTGCACATACTAACAATACATCTCCCCCCACCCCCACCCAAATAAATAAACAGATTGTAGATGTCAACTTGCAGAAGAGGAGTTTTGCTGGTATTCAGTTTGTCATCTGGACAGGTGGATGTTGGGTTAAAAACAATGGAGCAAACTTCTTTGCTGAGCTAAAATCAATCAATCAAACTGAAAAGGTTATTTTTATATTTCTTCTTTAACAATTTCTTGTTAAATATGCAGGTGATAGCCCCACATTTCCCCCCTTTTACCTGCTTGAAATAAAGAAGTTCCTGAAAAATAGTATATGTTTGAGGGAATATGAAGAAATACGTTCAGATAGGCATAATCTTAACTACCAAAGAATAAAAAGAATCCTTCCAAATGCAAACCTTTTGAACTATGGGGATCCAAATTACCTTGTGGAAACCACCCAACTGTACTGAAAATATGAAGGCCAGCCACATTGCTCTTATCCAATTTAACCTTGAAACAGTGAGTCTCAAAGAATTTCAGAATAGGAATAGAAAAACAATTGATAAGACTCGAGTATCGCTTTCCTCCACCAAAGCCAGAATATTCCTGTTGCAAACCAAGGTCATGGTCCAGCTCCTTAACATTTAATGTAGTTTTAATGGTGACCTCTTATTAAATTTTCTCTATTTTTATTAACGCCTAGACTGTACATGTTCAATAAATGACATTGATCTTTGTTCCTCCTATTGTAGCAAAGTCCTAATATTTTTCCTTTTTGATAGGTTCAAAAATGTATATAGTAGGAGAAAAAGGGAGAACTCATAAGTTGTAACTAACTAATTTAGTAGTTAGGACAGCTAGCCCTTTTAGCAATATAAATAAGAGGTCGGGCAGTTAGTGAGAGGAGTTTTTTGGAATAGTTAATGTCTGGCTTGGAGAATGAGGTCTCTTGAATGACCTCAGGGCAGTGCAATTGTGTAGTTTTTCCTATTCCTAATCTGGACCATGTTGGTGTAGCATTGTGAATTAGGGTTCTGCAATAAAGAGGTATTCTTACATATTGAGTTTGATATTCTATTCTATCACTTTTGCAGTTAGATGAATTATGAAACTTAACATTTAAGCCTTTTTTGATCCAAAAAGCCTTATATACAGTTTGATAGAGATGCAAAAGAGGTTGTCTTGTGGCTACTAGATGAAATTTCTCGTAGAGAGAAAGAGGCTGAGAGATCTTTGATGCACAGGTGAGACTATGATATACTACAGTGTTTAACAAAACCTTTTATTCCTTTAACCATTTTCATTAAAAGAAAATTTATGAAAATTTTCAGAGTATTTTCTAAGTTTCTATAGCTATTTGTGTTATTAAAGTACCTTACTATCATTGTTGGTGTACTTTTCTTCTCTTCACCTTGATTGATCATGCATGTGTGTGTGTTGTAGTTGTATGCTAAAATGATTTTTTGATGTGTTTAATTTTTCTCAGGTTCAATATTGCCACAGAGCTGACAGATCGTTGCAAGTCGGAAGGGGAACTGGGGCTGATTGGAATACTAGTTTGGATCAGGTTCATGGCATGCAGACATCTCAAATGGAATAAGAATTTTAATGTAAAACCTCGGTAAATTATTATTCTTTTACTCCTTTTACCAATTAATTGCTTCATGAGATATTCCTTTCCATAGAAGTTCTTGTTTCATATCCATTGTCTAATAATTATAGCACCAACATTTCCCACTAAATGTACTATCCTTTTTGAACTTTGAATTATTTTGTTCAATTTCACTCAGGATTTGTACTTATAAGTGAAGCACAAATGCTCTTTTCTTCTTTAGTTAGATTTATCATGTGGACCAGTTCTTTGATTTGAATTTTGAAACGATTTGGATGTTGACTAATGACTAATATACCGACATCAGTGTTTCTCGTGCTACCATCATACCAATGCCACAATTTATGTAAGTTTTTTAATTCTACTTCCAATGAAACAGAAGACTTAAAAATGAGTATGACTAAATTAATAATATTATTTAACCTAATTATACCAACAACCAAGTCTTATCCCACTAGGTTGGGTTGGTTTAAGCCAATTCAAACAATGACAAAAAAATTTGAATATAAACTTTTTGTTAGGGGTTATTTGGAAAAGGAGGATTTTGGAGGGAAGGGCAGGGCACAACAAAATTTATATTTTAAATAAATATATTTAAAATTAATATTTTTAAATAAAAGATATAAATTGATATATTAACATAAACTAATATTTTAATAATGTATTTGTTATCATAAATAATATATAATTATTTTAATTTAAAACTAAAAAATTTGTTCTCTCTTCCCTTCCCTCCAAAACCTCCCTCCCAAACATACCTAGAATATTAGCATTCGTGTTAGAATATACGGTTGAATGTGAGGATATTGATTGCTAACTGCTAGTAAGTATTTTGGATAATTGTAGTTGATACTGGTTCAATTAATAGTTTGCCTTAGCCCATTTTCATAATGTATTTTGACATTATGTCAACTTGTCCATGTTTACTTTTTGTTGTATATTCAGTATTACTAATTGTAGTTGGTATCACAAGCCCATTGTTGCCTGCTAAATGAATTGTATTTCATTTGAAGTGAAATTAGTGAAGCTCAAGACAGGTTTACCAATTTACTGCAAATAATATACTTGAACCAGCCAAGCAATAGGGAGATTGTGAGACTAATATTGATGTGTGTTGGTCCTGGAGGGCAAGGTGATGCTGGTCAGAGAATCCGTGATGAAATTCTTTTGGTTCAGGTGTATAAAATACTTATGTTTGCTGAATATAATTGTTGTGCCTTGGATGATTAATCATATATGTATGTTACCTTTCAGAGAAATAATGACTGCAAAACAGGCATGATGGAGGAATGGCATCAAAAGTTACACAATAATAGTAGCCCTGATGATGTCATAATATGTGAGGTGACCAACTAATCAGCGCATTTGGTTTCATAATTTATTCCACATTTTCAAATTTATGTCCAATAGAAATCAAATAGATGATTATTTAATTTCTTTGTATATATATATATATTTTTTTGTTTTTGTTGAGCGAGAAAAGGAATGAGAGACGTGAAAGAATACATGTCTTAATTTCACAGCCAAGCATCTATTTATATCAGGAGTCATAAACAAGGATAATTACAGGAATATACAGTTACTCTAACCAAATTACTCAATGAATAATCTTCCCTCTTTACATTCTTACTATATCTACATTATTTTTGTCAGATTCTTATGTTATTCACACAATTTTTGATATAAACATTATTAGGGTAGTTCATGACATTTGGATAGTGTGAGATAGAAACAATAGAATCAAGGAATGTAATTTTTATAATACGTGTACTTAATAAGGGTAAGAAATTATGTATTGGGATTTAATTGTTCAATTGATTAAAATGTTATAAGCATTGGCTATAATATCTATTTGAAAAAATATTACTTGATTAATAAGTTGGTTGTTTCTTAATACTATAAGTGTTTGACTATTTAATGAGTGCAAAGTACTTGGTGTTCTCTTTATGAATTTTGGAAATGAGACTATTATTGAAGACTTAAATGTGTTTGGTTCCACATTATAGTGAATTTTTTGTTTTGGTCCCTTCAAATGATTTTTTTTGTTTTAATCCCAATTTTTTTATAAATTTTTGTTTTTAGTTCTTAACATTGATCTGGTCCATTGAGATACCACTACGTGTCAGTTTTTATTTGACCACATCAGCATTAGTGACTAAAAGAAAAAATTTATAAAAAAGTAGGGATTAAAATAAAAAAAGTTAGTTTGAAGGGACTAAAACCAAAATTGTGCTAAAATGTAAGGATCAAAAACATATTTAAGCTATTATTTAATATTGTTTTCATCATATTTCTTTCTCCCTTTGAGAGTTTCTGAATTCTCCCTCCCTCTCTCTGTCTCTCTATTTCTCTTGCCTAATTTTATTCCTCCTACCCTCTATTGTTTCCATTTATCATAGCTTTGTTTTTCTTATCTTTGTAAAGTTATGTCATTTAGTCTCAACAGGTCTGAGTTGATAATAAGCACTTCTACCCAAGATTAACACAAGACTAGTATCAGTATGCTTGCAAGTTGCGCCAGTGACCCCATTTTATAATAAATAAGATTTTCTTAAGTGGTTGTTATTTTGGTAACAGGCACTCTTGAATTATGTAAGATGCGGGTTCAGAGTTGATGTTTATTGGAAAACATTAAATGCAAATGGTCTGACAAGAGAGAAACTTGCAAGCTACGACCATCCAATTGTGTCTGAACCACATTTCAGGACTGATATGAGGGATAGCCTTATCCATGATCTCACTGCATACTTGAAGATTCTAAAGGTATGCACCAGCTAAAGAAAGGCACTTCTTATATTTTAAATTGGATATTTTCTTGTTCAAGTTTTACACTAAATTTGATGGCTGTAACTTCTCAACTCAAGTTTAGCAACCATAATTTGAATGTGAACCACCCACAGCTGCCCAATCTGTTTGCTTGTCAATAAGAGTCCCCTTGAATCAATCAGGAGCTGAACATGAAAGAGGAACCACAAACATAATCCTATCTCTTGAAAAGATTAAGGGCAAAAAATCTTCCTTAAAAATGTGAGCACTCCACTCTAACCAAATGCACCAATTGACTGCATAAACAGCATATTGTCACAAAATTTTAACTTCGTTATTTTTCAAAAACCTTTCTATTGAACCATCTAAAAATGATCCAAATTTGGTTCTTTTTTATTTTTGACAAGTAATTTGAGAGGAGAAGTGGCGTGAGTTCTAATTTTTATAATCTGCTCATGATGGGACATTATTTGGAATCAGGCACGTGCTCACTTAAGTTTTGCAGTCTTAAATTTGGGCTTAAACGTAACTCAATTTCAAAAGCTAGCTTGTAAGATGAGGATTGCTTTAACCTTTATATTGTGATTTTTTTTATATTACACTGAGAAATCTGCAGGGTGTAGATAGCACTCGAGAAGCCACAGGACCAAGTAGATTGTGTTGGAAATATTCAGAGCTAGGAATTTTTTTTCAATCAAGGGTGACCCAATATCAGATCTATGATAGGCTCTAATACCATCTTATTAGGTTTAAACTTAAGTCAACCTTAAAAGCTAATTTGTAAGGTTATAATTGCTTTAACCTTTATAAACTTTTATTTAATCATATCTATAGTTGATAAGAGACTTCAATAATAACTTTACAAAGATGGCAAAAGGATGGCGGTGTTGGTTGCAAGATCATATTGGTAAAAAGAGGCGCAGTGGCAAGCGAAAAAGGGTGCACACTAATCATGTGTACTGTTCACCACAGTACTGTTCACTGCAAAAAACAAAAACAAGAGCTAGTATTGCAGAGGAGATCAGAGAAGACAAAGCTTAAACTATTGATACCATGTAGAGAGAAAGTGTATGAGTGTTGTGCATCAAAGATGATTACACACTTATGCATTTCTAATCACAAAAATGAGTAAAATGAGTACAAAGAATGAATCATAATTATAGTAACCGTTACACAAATATAAACACATGCATATATGTTTTCTAATATGCAGCTTTAAAGAATCATTTTATCTGAAGTACCTTAATTTTTTCTTTGATGCTGGCATAGAAAATTCACAAGAAATTTTCTGGTTATATCATTATTGTTAATTTCCTGATTACATCTGGAATCTAGATAACAATATTTTAAGTTCCAATTTTCATTAGTAGCCCAACAATATGGTTTTCCTTTTATTAATTGCTTTCTGTATCCTTTTAGCACCAGTTTAGTTGTTAATTTTCAAATTTTTCAGCTGCTGTATTCTTTACTAATCTTCCAAGGAAGGCTTAGTTTGCCTACTTAATAGGAAATATTGTTGGAAATGGTTACTTCAATTAATTTTCTGTGACACAGGCTGTTTACACTGGTGTGGACCTTGAACATGCTATTGATATTTGTTTGAGATCCTCTTTCAAGGTGATGGTTGCAGATGTTAAGGATACTTGTAATTTTCATCTTGTTTGATTTCTGACATTACTAACACTGTATTTGTAATTAACAAAATGTTGACTTTTGTCCTGGTCTTTCAGGATGGAAACATTACAAATGCAATTAAACATAGCTGTGTGTTTGGTTTGCCATTGAAACTGCTGGTAATGTAATTTTATTGGCATTTCAAGTAAACTTATGTTTGTAAGGTCTTTTTATCATATGACAATAGTGCTGTGAATAAACAATTTGAATTATATAATATTTTTTTATTTTACATGTTTATAACTTGATCTTTTCTATATTTATAATTATTTAAATTATGAGTGGATAATACTTCGTTAATGTTGTAAACTTGCAGGAAAATCTGAAATTTGTCAAAGAACATTTTAGGGATGCCAATACTACTCCACTAATGGAGGTCAGTTCGTATAGCATTTGATGAAAAATATAATTTTACATGTGAATGTCCTTGAAAAGATGAAAGTTGTTTTTTCTCAGAAGTTATTGGAATCACGCATTGAGCTTCGCCCTATTCTGCTGAAATCTCATAGAAGATTGAAAGATCTACTTTTCCTTGATATTTCTTTGGATTCGGCAATCAGAACAATTATGGAAAAGAGCTTACAAAATTTGAACTTTGCCAATCTGCCGGTAACAATAATTTGAATCTAAAATTATTTTATAATTGGTTAGGACTACTTTTTTCAAAACACTCTGACTAAGCTTCTTATTTTCATTTTTCCTTCTAATTGACAACAGGAAATATTGTTTTTGTTCTCTTTTATTCTTGAGAATCTATGCTTATCAACTGTCAATAATGAAGACATCATTTACTGCACTAAGGTGTGTGTTTGATCTTGAAGTTTCTTTGACTTTCTCTTATGGACTTTGTGATAAGCAAAAGTCTAACAGTGGTATACTATAAGTGCTGCATGGATAATTATTTCTGGCATTTGTTTACATTATCCTGTCTTCTAAAGGACTGGTATCGCATCTGTGAATCATACAAATTGGGAAATAGTCAATGGGCATTACAGACAAAGGCTATACTTGACCGGTTGGGGCTAGTACTCGCTGAAAGGTCTCAGTATTACCAAAAAAGGCTCCAACCAAGTGCCCAGTATCTTGGTAATTTGCTTGGAGTTCCAAAATGGACGGTATGTTAGGTGAATTTTGGGCTATGGAAAATAATAAAGAAATTGAAATTTTTTGTTTTAGATTTTACAAAAATTCTTATATTGAACACTCCTTCTGATAACTTTATTCCATTACAAGATTGATATTTTTACAGAGGAGTTGATAAGATCGGGATGTTCTGCTATGATGTCAATCCTCATTAACCATTTTAATCCCATTCTAAGGAAAGTTGCGAATTTAGGAGGGTAAGAACGAGATGTACATGTGTGCATAATTGATTGGATTCAATCTAAGCTGAGTGATTCATCATCAAACTGTGCCATCATGTCATCATAATACTTTTATTTTTATTTAAATATACTGATCTCTTGGATTCATTTAGAAATTCTCTTATTGCTGGTTTGAGTGGTTTCAGTGGTTAATACTAAATTGATTAATTTTCTTTTGGCAGCTGGCAGGTCATTAGTGTAGTAGAAGTGTCTGGCTTTGTTACCTTTGTCAATGAATTGGCAACAGCTCAAAATAAAGTTTATAGAAGGCCCACCATTATTATTGCTTCTAAAATAACTGGTGATGAAGAGATTTCAGAAGGAGTGGTAGCAGTGCTAACAACTGATATGCCTGATGTTCTATCCCACATTTCAATCAGAGCTAGAAATAATAAGGCATGTGTATCATTTTCATTAATTATATCTTGTTTATATTGATAATTTTATGACCAGATACTATTGTTTTGATCATACACAAGAGTCCAAATATTGCCTAATGATTTGTTGTGGAAATTAAAACTAACACAGGAAGTAAGTTGGTTGGTGCAGATATGCTTTGCCACATGCTTTGACCAAAATATTTTCTGGGGTCTCAAATCAAAGGAGGGAAAAGCAATATCAATAAGATTTAAATCAAACAATTTGGTTATAAGGTAAAAATTTGTTATGTACTAGATTAGCACACTAGTGATTATTCAGTGATCTTAAAAACCATCATTTTTATGCTTGTAGTGATATCAATAGCTCCAGTCTGTCTCACAACTCCATTATTTCGTTCTCCATTCGTCGAGGAGTTACCTTTAAAAAGAAGACTTTTTGTGGTAAATATGCTGCTTCAGTTGAGGAGTTTACTGGTGAAGTGGTATGATTTTGCATATCAAATTGTTTCTTTGCTTGAATATAGTATCTTGTTTATGTTTGTACTTTGCACAAGGTCTTCTGGATAGTGATGGTAAGTTTGCAGATGATTGACAAGTCAATGATGCATCTAAAAATGTGACATTGTATAATTTGTTCTTTTATTTACTCTCCACAAGCTAAAAATTTTCCATTTTTATTTCTTAAACTGTAACAACCAATCATAGATACCAGTCTCTTTAGAGGTGATCCTATTTCAAAATTTTTCATGTATTATGAGAAACTAGAGGTTGTGTTTCCACCTAAGTTGATAAAAGTTGTGACACCATCAGAACACTCCTTTACAAACTTTTGCAAGTATCCTGGTATTGTGCTACATCAGCATCTCCAATGCTACCAAAGTTATTTCGATGATGACCTCATCAGTTCTTCTATAAGCACTACCTAGAGACAGCACAATTTTCTGTACCATCAACCACTGGTGCAGTTTCACTCTCCCTTTGATTCATTGTCACTAGGCTAGGCCACTGCCTAGTGCTACTGCAATTGCCTACCTACAATCACATTTTCTTTTCATTACCAAAACACCTTACCTGTGTCTGTTTTGAAATTGACATATTTCTTGTTTTGAAATAGTTGAAATAAAATTAAATAATTTATTTTTTGTTTAAGAAAATGAGGATGTTAGATGGGAATTAATTGGTGATTGATGAAATTTATACTTTGAAAATATGTTTAGTCAAGGCAGGAGAATCTCCTGTATGTTTGGTTGCAGATTTTGATGAAAGCCTGAATAGTTGTTACTTTTTACAACATTATGCTCTAATTAATTTCATTAACTTATGTGACTAGGTTGGTGCAAAATCATGCAATATTAAATTTTTATGTACAAGGGTACCATCTTGGATTAAGATCCCACCGTCAGTTGCCCTAACATTTGGAGCCTTTGAGACTGCTTTGCAAGACAAAGTTAATAAGGTCTTGTAATCATTTTTCATTTCCTTGTAAACAATGTATGTGAGTGTAGCTACTTTAGTTGCATTCATACAATGTTAATTTTATATGCTCTCTACTAATATGGATTTCATTAACATAAGTCAACATTGAAATAATTAGTTGATGACAGAAAATTTGAGATATTAGAGGCCAAAGTTGGCCACCATATTTACGGATCAGTTTTGTCATAATTTTAATTGTTTGTGGACATAGAAATACTATTTGGACATAGTCTAAAATATCAAGCAGTTATTTTTTATGATCATCTTTTTTCCTTCTGCTGATTTTCTCCTATTATTGTAATTTTCATTTAAGAAATAACTTCAACTTGGAATGGTAATTATCCTTATTTTGTTACAGCCATTGTTTGAACTTCAACCACCAATTATCATGCTAATATTTAAGAATTTGTGATTGAGACATGAAATAAATTGCTACTTCTGATAGTGGTAAGCTAGAGAAACATGTGTGACTTTATTTGAAAGAAGGGCCAGTAAAGTTTTCACTATCTTGCAGGCCATAGAAAATAAGATTGCTTCTTTATCCAAATCAGTGCATAATGGCGACCTTTCAAAACTTAAAGCAGTACAAGAAGCCATCCTGCAAATGAATGCTCCACCATCTATGGTAATTTAAAAGCATCATGACATCATGTTGATGAATTCATACTTATGATATCTGGTATAAAGTTTGTACATTAATATATACTTTCCTCTTTAATTTCTTCCTATCTTTGTTTTTCTACAAGATAATAACATTTTCAGTGGCATAGCCATCATTTTCCTTTTTTATTTCATTCTTTTTTTGGTAGTTTACATTATCATCTTTACAAGTAAGATGTTTGCCTTTACCCAGATAAAGCATATATTATTTTATGGTTTTGAGAAACATCGCACAGACCTATTTATATACGGTATATCAAGTGAAAGTGCGAGAGATTAGAACAAATCTTGACCCAATACAACCATGTATGGATGGTCAAGAATAACTCTTTGCTCACACTTTTATCTAATATGTTGTGCAAAATCATACTTTATTTCCTTTCTTTTGACATTGTAATTTTGCAAGACTTATGAACTCGAGCACAAAATTAGAAGTTCAAAATTACCATGGCCTAGTGATGAAGGTAATGAGAGGTGGAGTTATGCATGGCAAGCAATAAAGAAGGTATAACTTTGTTTTCACAAATACTAATACATAATTTTTGTTTTTCAAGGGAGAGCATGTTGTTATATTTCTTTCCTTTCCAGTGATATTAATGTTTTTCATGTTCACTTTATCCGTATTAACCTTTTCCATCCCAGTTTATTTTGGATTGGGCTCAAATCTTTGGCTTTGTCAATTGTTAGTTTGGTTTTTATCACCTGATTTTCTTATATCTAGCAAAGGTAAAGTACAAGGGCTTTTATGTATATTTGTCTTGAATTAAATTAGACTAGACTCCAAGTTTAAATACTTGTCATGATGACACTCCAGTGTGAATAATTGACAAAATCATGCAAGGATTTCTAATTTTCTTCTTTGTAGGTTTGGGCTTCAAAGTGGAATGAACGAGCTTTTCTCAGTTGCCAAAAAAACAAGTTGAATCATGAGAATATATGTATGGCTGTATTGATTCAAGAAGTTATTTGTGGTGATTATTCTTTTGTGATTCATACAAAAAATCCCTTGTCAGGGGATGCTACAGAGATATATGTTGAGGTAAATATTTTTTTCTTGGTCTGTTAACAAATTATAAGAGAATATTTTCCACTGTCTTACCCATCTTGCAAAAACAGATAGTGAAAGGGTTGGGAGAGACTCTGGTTGGGGCATATCCAGGACGTGCAATGACCTTCATTGTGAAGAAAACAAACCTGAAATCTCCAATGGTAATGTAGATATCTCTTCATAGCTATTTATTAAAATATGCATCATTAAGTGGGTTCATGTCAAATCACTTTAAATTTAGTAGTTTTAATAATCATGTTTCTCAAATTAACTGGCATATGAGCCCTTCATGTTTATCGCTCAAAAATCTTGTGAATTTGAAGGTTACCAGTTACCCAAGCAAGCTAACGGGGTTGTACAGTAAGAAGTCCATTATATTTAGATCAGACTCCAACGCCGAGGACCTTCAAGGATTTGCTAGTGCAGGTCTTTTTGACAGGTGAAATATGCGACACTTTGGTTTGAAGTAATAAATCAAGAGTATATTGTACAATTGTATTAGATTGGGCAATTACGGTCTTTCTTGGCATTTATACAATTGCATTTTTTGCTTATGCTAACCTATAAAGTCTTTGCTCAAATTTCCTGCAGTGTAATCATGGACAAGGTCGAGAAAATTGTGTTAGACTACTCCAAGGATCCAATTATTGCTAATAAACCATTTCAAACTTCACTCTTCTCAAGAATTGCAGAGGCAGGAAAAATTATAGAGGACCTTTATGGTTGCCCTCAGGACATTGAAGGAGTGGTTAAAGATGGAATAATATTTGTGGTTCAGGCAAGACCACAAATTTAATTTCGTAAAATATACTTAAAATTTCAACTGAAATAGTGTTGAATCTGTTAATAATATATATTGGCAAAATCATGCTTATGTTATATTTGCATTCCAACCACAAATTTAACCTTGTATTATACACATTAAATAAAATGATAAGATGTTATTGCCCTATAGGCATTTATTTTTACTATATAACAAAAATCACCACACGTTTGAATATATAAGCATTCATGAGGTGCTTATTTATATGAAATAAAACTTCATAAAACGGTTGAAAAGAATTGCTTTGAGAGAAAGTCAAATATATTTTTCTTTTACATTGTAATATACGCATTCTCACTTTAAAATGTAAACTAGGTAGAGCTTCACGAAATTCTTATCAATTAAAAGTGTATTCATATGTTTGATTGTGAAACTCCTTAAAATAAGTTAAAAATTTTGCTTTGATAAAATTCTCTGTACAACTAAATAAGAGCTAAGAAGAATTTTTAGAAAGATCATTGGTCACTTTAACAAGTTCAACTAAATGTAACTCCAGCAATATTATGTGGCATTTTTGTTAAGATTTTTTATTTTGTTTTTAAACATAATGTGCAAAAGCAGATATAGCTTTTATTCTATTTTTCAAAATATAATCAAATGTATGTACATAATCATGTCAAACTCTAGGCTTCTATTTTCTAATAAATTATGAAGCCTAAAATTGTACATTGAACAGAAGCTACAGGAATATACAACCCGAATACGACATGAGAGATGTGATGAACGCAATGATCTTCACCGGTAACTGAAGTTGTCGAGGAATACAAAAATGTTAGATCTGCGGTCGATGATGGACAAAATGTTAGATGAGAGATGAAAGCAAGGCTCTTTTTCACCGATGACTTACATAGGTTGCCACGGAAAATACACAATGAATTGCTATCAACATCAACCATGCATTGCCCAAATATCGAGCCCCAAGTTCTGTTGCCAATTCCATGCGCTCCTCTGCTCAAGATTTGAAGCTTTCAACTGAGGTACTTAATCGAGAAAGGTCATCAGTCACGTTTTTGTCTTTTAGAGTACTTTATGAACCAGAGGAAACAGCGTCATGCTCAGCTGAAAAGTAAGAAATCCTTTAGATAACGATTAACATTCTATTCATGAAAATCTTCATATGGTGAGGATCCACTTGAAGAATCACTGTCAAATGGAGTTGTCTCTCTTGGAGATGATGGTAGCGATTCTCTTTGTTGTGAAGATGAACCTGCAAGAGATTTGAAGCTTCATTCCTCATGTAATCAAATGGAAAGATTGATTCGCAGAGATGAATATTATCAGGGACGTCAAATATAAAAAACTTTGAATACAAAAGGAAATGAAAAAGTTCACCTAGACCCATAATGATTTGTGTAAATAATTTTCAATAAAAAGTGTGCATTACAATCAACCGCATGCAAGAGAGAAGAAGGTAGTTTATTAGGATAGACATCCAAAGCAGACACGGAACATAGGAAACAGCTTAAACACACAATTTCCTAATCATCATTCCTCCCAAACAAGACTTCTGTTTGGACAACTGTAACAACTATTACAAATGGAATTATAGACCTCAGACTGTTCTTTTTTTCAAGGTGTTGGTGTAGACCTAGTTCAATAACAGTAGCTCATTCTGATTGCATTGTAAATCAGCTAGTTTTAAAATGGAATAAGGAAATCTGCTAGGGATTCTTGCTGAATAATTTCTCATCACATGCTTAGAGTTTTGGCAAGGCTTTCCTATTGGTTGGGTTTTGGGCCTTTCATAATTGGAGATTACTATATTCGCCACCTCTTTCTCCTGTTTGTACCACCCCTTTTATTATCACAACCAGAATTGAATTTTCAAAATTGTGTTCAATACATTCCACAAATAAAATTTTGAAAAACATTTGTAAATCACTTACGGAATTTAATTTTTGGAAAGTATAAAATTACTTCTGAAAATTAAATTCCAGAAGGTATTTGAAATGGCTTCTAGAATTTAATTTTCTGAATATATTAAATAGACTTCTGGAAATTAAATTACAAAATAAAAAAAATGAGTGGTACAAGCAAAAATGGGTAGTGCAAAAAGTAATCACCTTATTATTTGGTGCTCGGTTTCTTAGAGCCGAAAGACCAATGATAAGAAAAATGGCAAGCGCGTACGAACTTCTGTCAATAGCTACTTTTGAAATTCTATGGTGTATTTACTAGTTGAAGAATGCCAGTATTTTCAAAAAAATTTCCCCCGTTTTTGTTTTAGGGTGATATAGGACTTCTCCCTGGTGCTTTGCTCATAGTTTTGTCAAGAGAATTTACATTAATGACGTGCACACAGAGAAGACAACTCTGGTGCATGGTTGGGCCATTTTAGTTAGCTTTCGTGTTTTCTATGTAGGGGAATTTTTTATCCTTTTAACAAAAAAATTTTAGCCAATCATGTACTCTCTCTCCTTTCTTTCTAATAATATATTCTTTTTTTAAAAAAAGAGCCGTTCATGAATCAAATGAATAGTAAGTAGGCATAAACGACTAAAGCAATAGCACCAAAGTGACAAACAAACCTTTCTGTCCTCTGGAACGGAACTTCTTAGTGTGCCTTCTAATAAGTTTTTTAGCTTTTGTAATTGTGAGCTGCCTTGCAAAAGGAGAGAACTCAATATCACTCTCACTCCAATCACCTTGAAAATCATTCTCTGCTTCCCCCCTCATAGTTCGGAGCACAAATGCCTTTGCCTTGCGGCGTTGAGTATTGAACAGTCCCCTAATGGATGTTACAAATCCATCACCTGCACCATCACCTGGACGCTTAGGCCAAGATGGTGGATATTGATCAGATTTTCCTGCCTGACCTTCATTGTCACTAAAATTAAGATCAATTTCAGGAACACCAGCACCAGTGGGCTGACTCTGACCTTTGTCTTTAAATTTCCTACCCTACATGATCCATGCAAAAGAAAAGCAATTCAGTGGAAACCGTTAAAATTGCCTCCAAATAGATCCATGTTGTTAATACAACAATTCTTTTTTTATTGATAAAGGCTATTTTAAAGGGAATCAGAAAAATAACAAATTAACAATATCACTCAAGTTCCTAATCTGCTAGTTATTATAACAGCCTGTTTGTGTTTTAATGTCCTCGTAAATTTGCAGTGGTAGGCGTATAAATGACAGTTATGAATACAAAGGAAAACAACAGGATCATATATAACTGCTTACAACAAAATGAAATGAGAGGAAACCGGAGGCCATTCCTCACCTGCATTCCGGTTACAGACTTTAGGACTCCCCATATGATGTGCTTCTTAACTCGTGAGAAGAGTCTTCGCCAAGTCCCAGTAAACTCGGTTCGGTGAAATTGATCCATAAGTAGTTTGAGATCATTTACAACAAATCTTTGCCCTTCATATGTGACCAATAACTCAACCTGTAAGAAATAATGCATGACATTTAGCAGAATTTTGAATTTAAATTATTGCATAAGTGATGATAGATAACAACTTTACCAGAACGCTCAAACCAACCAACCTGGCTAATTTTGATATTGTGAAACTCCATCATCTTCCTTGGCCTAGATCTCTTCTCTTCATGCGACTTAGCCACCTTTTTTTCTTCATGAGATGAGCGACCACCTTTGACCCCTTTTGAATCTTTTGATTTATTTTTAGCTGTTTCGTCTTGTTGCTCAGTAGAACCAAATGGGCCGTTTTTTGAGGAAGAGAAGCTTTGTAACACAAGTTCATTAGCTACAGATTCTGCCACGGTCTCTTCCCAGGTTCGATCAAAAGATGATGTCCTTCTCAACTCAGGAGTTGTACCAGCACCTTGGTTTGCTTTGACATTTTGTGTTTTGGATGCCTGCAAGCAGGTTACAGAAACTCCTTGAGAATTCTAGCATCTAAAAATTAATAAATTAGCGGGACCACTCTCTTGTCAATCAATGCACCAATTATTTGCTAATATTATTAATAATCTGACTTGAGAACCATGCATTATAGAGTAAATCAATACTCACTTGAGTTGAATCAACATGGCCTGAAGGCAGACTTGTTGACTGAAATAGCATAGCAGATATGCCAGATTTAGATGAGGCCTCAGACTCTTTTATTGAGTGGCTGCTTGAGGCAGAAGCTTCAAGGATTGATGAACCTTTCTTTACACGCCTTGCACCAGCAGTGGTTGAAACCTTCCAAACCTCCTGAATAAATAATCACTATTTTAACTTCTGATATTTTTTTCTGCTACTTTAGCCTTGGTTTTTGAAGACATCAAAATATAAGATCTGTAATCCTAAACTAACCTGTCGGCGTTGGGAATCTTGTTCTTCTTCTGGGAAGAAATATTCCCACATCATTCTGTACATTGTCTCCGTTAGATGGATCTTAAGGGGATAAATCTCTACCTATAGTGAAAAGTAAGTTCATATTAGAAACAAGCTGAACCTGTTAGGAGTTAGGACCAATCTTGACATTCCAAGAAAACCTCTCAAATAATAGTAAATTTTAGTTTCTGATTCTGAAAAATCCACACAAATGCAGATTTAGAATTTTCTAATTCCTTTATGTTTACATTTTACTCCATTGCAAATGGCTTTCAATATGAATATGAACTTCTACATTGTAACAGCTTTTCCCAAAGAAAATTGTATTGCAGGCATGTTTATGATAGACCTTTGTTGATAACAGCAAACCAGGCCACTTGACATCAATACTACAACAATATTCAAAGCTGACAAAACTTTGGAAGTACAAGGATAGTGACAGTAATAATGTTCCAGCCCTAAGATTTATGTGCCAAATTCTTTCTTATTACGAAACTTAGGTTATCTCACTCCCAAAAGCTAGCTCATAAGAGGATGACTACCAAAGCCCTTATAAGGAGTATTCTAACTCTATTCCTAACTATTGTGGGACATCTTAACATTTCTCACTCTCATGCCCCATCAGGCATATCTTCTAAATATTCAGTATATGGAGAAAATCATATTGCTAAAACATTCTTGTTGAGATTCCATAAAGGCTTGAACAATCCACCTTATGAGCTAGGTTTTGGAGTTAAGTAAGGCTCAGCCCAGCCCAAAAATTTGAACTCTGATAATGACTTAGCAATATTATATTATCTTCACATAATGTCTACTTGAGATAAGTATGAAATATGGTCTCAATTTTA